AATGCAGTCTCCATGGTCTAGTGGCTAAGGGGTGTGACTCTCAGCTGCCAGACTCGGGTTCGATTCCCCACTCAGGAATTCCTTTTTGCCACTATCGTTGGCTCCAAAAAACAGCTGATTTCTCCACAGATCCTAATATATAAAATAATGGAAACCAGAACCCCCGTTTTTCTGATCGGATTTCAAGATCGTTGCGGGAGCCTGGACACCGTACCCCCTTCCCTCTTGAGTTTGATGAAAAAAAAGGCGATTGAGGCGCGTAAACTGCAGATGAAATGCAGTCTCCATGGTCTAGTGGCTAAGGGGTGTGACTCTCAGCTGCCAGACTCGGGTTCGATTCCCCACTCAGGAATTCCTTTTTGCCACTATCGTTGGCTCCAAAAAACAGCTGATTTCTCCACAGATCCTAATATATAAAATAATGGAAACCAGAACCCCCGTTTTTCTGATCGGATTTCAAGATCGTTGCGGGAGCCTGGACACCGTACCCCCTTCCCTCTTGAGTTTGATGAAAAAAAAGGCGATTGAGGCGCGTAAACTGCAGATGAAATGCAGTCTCCATGGTCTAGTGGCTAAGGGGTGTGACTCTCAGCTGCCAGACTCGGGTTCGATTCCCCACTCAGGAATTCCTTTTTGCCACTATCGTTGGCTCCAAAAAACAGCTGATTTCTCCACAGATCCTAATATATAAAATAATGGAAACCAGAACCCCCGTTTTTCTGATTGGATTTCAAGATCGTTGCGGGAGCCTGGACACCGTACCCCCTTCCCTCTTGAGTTTGATGAAAAAAAAGGCGATTGAGGCGCGTAAACTGCAGATGAAATGCAGTCTCCATGGTCTAGTGGCCAAGGGGTGTGACTCTCAGCTGCCAGACTCGGGTTCGATTCCCCACTCAGGAATTCCTTTTTGCCACTATCGTTGGCTCCAAAAAACAGCTGATTTCTCCACAGATCCTAATATATAAAATAATGGAAACCAGAACCCCCGTTTTTCTGATCGGATTTCAAGATCGTTGCGGGAGCCTGGACACCGTACCGCCTTCCCTCTTGAGTTTGATGAAAAAAAAGGCGATTGAGGCGCGTAAACTGCAGATGAAATGCAGTCTCCATGGTCTAGTGGCTAAGGGGTGTGACTCTCAGCTGCCAGACTCGGGTTCGATTCCCCACTCAGGAATTCCTTTTTGCCACTATCGTTGGCTCCAAAAAACAGCTGATTTCTCCACAGATCCTAATATATAAAATAATGGAAACCAGAACCCCCGTTTTTCTGATCGGATTTCAAGGTCGTTGCGGGAGCCTGGACACCGTACCCCCTTCCCTCTTGAGTTTGATGAAAAAAAAGGCGATTGAGGCGCGTAAACTGCAGGTGCAATGTAGTTTCCATGGTCTAGTGGCTAAGGGGTGTGACTCTCAGCTGCTAGACTCGGGTTCGATTCCCCACTCAGGAATTCCTTTTTGCCACTATCGAAAGAATCTGGCTTTCAAATTTCAAAGGTACCTCTACTTCAAGGCCATTTTTTGCCCCCAAAATGAATGAAATTCAAAAATCTAAGAGCATTTTCGCTTAAGAGCTTGTTGTCTTCTTTTGATTGGTACCATTCTCTTCGACCCATTTTTAGTGGTTGATGAGTTATGAGCACCCAAAGTTAGCATGTTTGTTAAAAATGCTGCTGCTTCTTGAATGACATTTTTTGTGGTTCTGATGAGACACATGTAAAGTTTTGGCAGCTTTATATATTTACAAAACGCTAAAGGCCTATATAGATGGTTCCAGTATTTGATGTTATAAGTCGTTGTGGAATCAAAGTAAAGTCTGAAATTTTCCCAATGGGCTGCTGCAGAGGGACGACAATTAGAGAAATAAGTATTATGGCGTAAAATGCTAGGAGCTCATACACTGGATGAGTTGCATTACTCTAACATCACAAGCAAAGAGTTTCGTTCCCTTCTTTTGCCTAGGCTAAATGCGCCATAGACCAGCTCACGACAAATATAAACTATGTTCATTTTAAGTGTGCCAACATAATCGCAGTTTCGCGAGCAGCGTAGACGACAAAGAAAAGAAAATATGGTAGGAAATCCAATCATATGAATAATGAGTAAGGAGAAAAGAATGATGGACGAAACAACAAATTACCTTGTATGGGCCTTCCGCGCAGGGCGCGGAGAGTGCGCAAGGTGTGTACTCTTCTCTCCTCGTACACTCTCGCCGTCTGTTTTTCTCTGCGCTTCCTCCAGTCATGAACTGACTTCAATGTACGCAACAGCCTTGCTCTCCGCGCGCAGCGCGGACGGCCTATATTCAAGGATACTCTGTACCCCACTAAGGCCAAATTCTAACATTCACTTCTTTTTCCACTGAACTTTAGCATTCACACAACTATTCGTAAACTGCCATTAACTGATTGAGAGAGACCAAGGAGAATGAGTGCGAACAGAAGTTTGAGCGTCTTTCATGATTGAGCTTGTACGCCCGCGCACAGCTCGTTTCCATGGGCAGCCGCTTTCGTTTGAAACTAGCTGATAATAATCTGTAAGTACAGTACGGATGTTATGAATTCACTGTGGAAATCATGGTAATTGGGCTCTTGTTGATGAAAATGTCTGAAACTTTCCCGTGTCGTGCGCATGTTAGCCGACCATGATTCAAAACTGCTTCCTTCCCCTTGAACTTTGAACGGAAAGTAGGTTGCAAAACCCCATTTGTAGCTATATAAATCTAGCTGCTTTTTCCGCATTACCGCTTTTTTTAACCCCCAGATGTTTTTGTACTTATGCACGAAAGCGTGAAACATTTGCAAAACCTAGAACCTTTCGTCCTGTTCACAGAATGAGATCAATGTGGACAATCTGCTCTCTCAAACCTGTAAAATTTTGCTCTTCCTTTTTTGCTAAGGTTAAAAGCGCCACAGAAGTGCGCCATGAAGATCCCCGACTTGTGCATCCACGAGATGAGCGCGAACTGCGCGTAAAAGCGATCGCGCGCATTTTCCATTTGTGACTTATTGGCTGTAGCATAGCATGCTTCAAATAAAGATACAGAAAACTTCCAGAAAAAAAGGAGACTCGCGCTTTGGCATAAAAATTTTGGAAAAAAAGGTTTTTAGTTGGACTGGATTTGCTTGCGGAGAAGTTCGAACGGTGCTATCCATGTGTCCGCAGCTCAAAATTTCAAAGTCGGGAATTTGGCTGAAATTCGGTCGAGGAATTACAAATATTACGTTCTTTTTTCATAAAAACGCCATTTGGTGGGGCAACGGTGGGTATACGTAGAAGAGTCAATTCAGTTTTGGCTGAAATTGGTCTAGGAGGTTTTCTGAAGTGCTGATCACGAATACCACATTCATTCTGCATTCTGGGCGCTTGGTCTTCAAAAATCCTTCGAACCAATGTACGCCGGTCCCTGTCTAGGACTTGGCACGGAAAAGTTGAGGGGAACGTTGTGAGCATACTGACTAAAAGTACATTGAAGGGGGAGGAGGATATTGTGACTTTCTTCAGTAAGCTTTTGAGAAAAGAGGGTTTTGCAGACGGGACAGTTCCTCGAATAACGAAGAAAGAGTGGGCAGCTTCACGGTGAGTTTTAGAGGCAAATACTCAGTGCAGTTTGGCTAAGAAATTGGGAAAGGAGAACTGATATTTTAAAGACACCGTCCACCCAAAGTGAGGGTTCACGAGATTCAATGGCATACTAATGTGGGCCCCCACACTAAGCCAAATCCCAAGTTTCCCCGCAAAAGATTGCTTCTGGAGCAAGAGATCCGCTCTAGAAGGTACGTGATACGTGATCCAGAGGTGGTCACTCCGCCCATTTTGCAGCTTTGGGGGCTGCGGCGCTGATATACGCCGGGCGATAACTGCGCCGCAGCCCTGCAAACTGCACTTCCACCCATCCTGCTTTCTCCAAAATAGGGGTATTTGGGATTCTCGACTTCATATTCGAAATCAGGGCCTTCAGAAGGCCCGGAAGCGACAGAAACATGGAAGTCGAGAATTTGGGTGGACGGTGCCTTTAAGGCCAGAGTGATGAGGAAATTAGGCTCTTCTAATAGGAGACGGTCTTTTCGCACGGTCGGTCTCCAGCGCTATCCTGATTGATTGTCGTAACACGTCATGCAAGTCGCAAATCTTTCTTCCCCCTTGCTTAGGCAAAAGCCGCCGCAGGGTGTCCGCGCGCGGCAGTGGTTGGAAAGCAGTAAGGATGCGAATCGTCCTCACCCTCCTCTGATGCATTGACGGAAAAAAGCTGCTAACGCTTTGAGAAAATTTTACGCCGAAAGGAACATCTAATACATCAGCTAAGAAAAGCCACAGAAAAGGAAACTACGGGAAGGATGCTATACGAAAAGATACAAACTACTCGTTTATCTAATGCGAGGGTGAGTATAGAGTAAAAGCGCGATGTGTAAGGTGTGCATTTCGATTTTGGAAAATAGAAAATGAGCTTCACTAAACGCGACATCTCAATTGACTCCAAGGTTCTTCTGCAAGCAGTCGTACTTTCGTCATCAGAACTATATGCGCAGCATGCCTTCCCAGCAGAAGATTTCAATCAAAACATCACTAGACGAAGTTTAGTAGCTTTTACGGCATTGAAAAATTGTTATACGAGGCTTCGCTGACTCAATATAATATTTCTCACACCTGCTAGCCATTGGGCCGCTAGTACAGGAATAAAAATCGTGAACCTCAGATAATGGCAGCGGAAAACCAAAGCAAAAAAAAACTGACGCGTGCAATGTGGCGTACGCAGTTGCAGAACTCCGTTACTTCAGATCAAATGGAGCAAAATTTGCAATTAGGGCATGCAAGCGCAGCATACGTGCATGTTTGCTCGAAACATTCATTATTTAAATATTTTGTATTCTCGGATAGTTCGTTCTCTTTATACTACTTTGTTTTGTTTGCCTGCGCATTTTCTTCTCAATAATTATGTGTTTCCTTAATATTATTGTGCGAATTAGTGTCATTAGTCTGATATTTTCAATCGCTTTTTTTGCAGTTGCTTCTACTTCTTAGTTCCCTACATGAATACATTCGTAGGAGCTTCTACATCGGTGCAAAATGATCCCATGAAGTAAGTTGATGGCTGGTCTTTTCGAGTAGTTGTCTCAATCCTTTGTAAGAAGTTTGGATTAGCTTTGACAGTGTGAAGAGTAGATGCAGGCACAAAGCAAAGTGTTTGTCACATGTGTTTGTAGATCATTACGTAGGGTGCGAATGTGTGCAAGTGTTGCTTTTTGCAGATTTAGCATGTTTTTCAGGACAAGATTTTTGAGTCTTGGCTACTCTAATATGTTTTTCGTGTTAACTGTTTTCAAATATCAAAAATCAAATTTCGTAGCACATCCTTTGACTGTAGGGCTGCTAAATCTGGCAGTCTATCAGCTGTCCTGAGACGAGGAGACTTGAGATTGCACACATTGCCTAGCAAGCTTGTTGTTCTTCCCTAAAGCAGTGGATAATACTAGATGAGATGGCTCACCAATAAAAACTTGTGAACCACATGATCAAACTTGTTACAATTTCTGCGAAGCGTCTCAAGTCTTCTATCCAGTATCAATATGAATGATACCTTTGCTTTTTGGCTATATAGCTTTACATTCGAATTTTTGTGATTTTAGGTGTGGGTAATTATGATTTCCATGCTTCTATTTTTCACGTATTTTGTGATCCCAGTCAGATTAGTTTGACCAAATGCGTGCCTATGGATTTTTGAAGTTCAAGCATTTTTTGTATTTTTAAAATTCATTTATTGAAACGAGAATGATCTTAGATTCTTCTCGTCTTTTAGTTCGTGTAAAATTCTAAAAAAAACCTTCACCTTTTTGTATCTCACCTGTCAATTCCGTTAACTTCATCTGCTAACGAGAGACGAATGAATCTCAGTATCTCTCTCCCAGTTTCTTCCCTTCACATGGTTATTTTACCCAGATCTTCGTCAACACCTATTTTTGTATTTATAGACAGATAGAACATTGAACTTGCTTGTTCCACCAGAGAAGCGGTGGCTCCGGGTGCGGGAGGGGGGGGGGAGAATTTCGCGAAATTGCTGAACGCAGGTGATTTTTTTGAACTTGTAAACAACCGACAATTCCTAATATTCAAATCAGCTTTGCAATTTCCAGGCCGTGTTTCATGGCCTCGTGAAAGCTTGGAAACAGAATTTTTTTCCAGGGCCGTGGCCAACGCCATCGCCTTATCATGAGAAATTCTATCGCTCCCATCTCTCCTCCCCCCCTCCCCGCCGCATTTCTTGCTCCTGCTGATTACTACTGCTGATTGGAGGAAATTTTGCTTTACAAAAATGTGAGTTGCACGAAGTGGTCACCTGCTATCCAGACAATTTTGTCTACTTCTGTTTCAGAATTTGGTTTGCTGTGGATAAGATCAAGTTTTTTTCTTTCTGTGATTTATGCAATTCATGATATGCATCTACCTAACCACCATCTTCCTAATGCGTCGGCAAGACTATCTGACTGCTATGCGGTTGTCAAACGTTTGACATGAGGTTGACATTTTGGGAGGAGGAGGGTGCGGGGCAACGGTATGATGTTCGACGGTCGCAAATGTTTAATTTCTCTCTTCCCCCCCCCCTCTTTCCTCTCCACCGGGAGTAACGACGAATGTTTGACTTGTATATTCTCTGCGACGTCGATTCATCTATGCTCACAATCATATATTGGTAATCGATTTACATTGAAGTCAAGACAGCAAAATCTGGAACTGCCATATCCGACTTTGAACAGTCGCATTTATAGATTTGCAATCACGTCCCTATTTGCCTGTTATCATGACTTATAATAAGCCGCTTTGTCGGTCTGTAAGTCTGTCTGTTACGAAATTATAATGAGGAATGATTTACGATACTAAACATCATGTGATCACCTTATCATAAGTCATGATACTCTTTTTTCCTCAAGCTTCCTTCTGCCCGATAGCAGGGCAAAGTACAGGGTGTCCCAAAAAAAATGTATCGAACGTTTGATCTTCAATAACTTCCCTATATGGAAAGATTTCGGGGATCTTCGAGTGTCATGCGGTAGAGCTGGGTTCAGCTTAGATTTACAGTATAGAGCGAATCATCTATCGCTCTTCATTACTGTGGGATTACGGTACGAACCACGACAAAGATTTCAGGCTATTGGAGGCTATATTCTGCCTCGGAGCAAGACCAAACAAGCCAGAAACTCTTATACTACAGTGATGGGAGCCGCTGATTTCGAATTTGAAATTCCCATTTTACTGTGATGCTTCTTTCCTAAGTTATCCCGGGTAGTAACCAGGGTCAAGCAAGGGGTGTGGCACACGATCGCTGGTTACGACCCCCCCCCCCCCCCTAAACTATATACCTAAGATGGCATTACCAGAGTTGAGAAAGACAGGCACAAGTCTTTCGAACCCCCCCCCCCCCTCCCATTAAAGCCCTCAAACAACCCCTTCTTCCTCCTCTTAACCTCTGGACCTCAAAGTGTGACATTCTGGAGGACACCATCTTTTTCTAGAGAGTTTTCAGATTTCTGACAACTGTACGCCCGATTTTCTGTGACTGCACATTACAATCACACGTAATTTGACGGCTGATTTTGATCTGAATGGGCATATTGAAAGGGCCATAATTTTCTTATGGATGGGGCGTTCGGCTCCAAATTTCCAAAGTAGCAAGAAGAAGCTATGTGCTCAATACTCATACCAGCAATGGAGCGCTTTCTGGATTTTGAAGGCAAGTTAAGGGGGTGTGCCGCACCCATTAACTATATCAAAAAAAAAAACATTTTTAGCGGACAGTATTTATATTAATCGATAGCCTAAACCTTGTAGATTCCATAGGACTGTTTGGAACCTGATTCGTCCTCTTAGCTCTGAGTAATATTTGGTGAAAGCACAGCGATCAAAAGCGAAAAATGGGAAAAACGAGATTTTGGTTGGTTTCTAATTCCACAGTTTGCAGGTCTACTGAAGCGGAATTCCTGAGGTGGACAAAGATGGAGTAGTGCTTTGTCTTGAGTGCAAAAACGGATGGCTAATTCACCTTTGAAACAAAGTTATCCATGTTGGAATTTGACCATTTCACTGAGGTAGCCTAGTATCTTGAATCTTCAGAATTCGCTCACATTTGTCTACAGGGGTTAATTGACATGCTAATTATGGATATGATACGAAATCATGTTATCACTATATCAGATTACCCAATTACGACCCCCTCTCCTTTTGACTCCTCAATACGACCCCCCAGGTGTGGCGTGCCGCACCCCACGCTTGACCCTGGCAGTAACTCAATTCCCAGATTTGTCAGAAATGTAATTACACCGTCACAAAAAGCCGAAAACACTTGTAAAAAGTTGTTAGGTGGAATCAGCATGCGCGAAAACCCTAGTACTAGATTTTTTAGTTTTTTTGAAGGAAATTTTGTTAGGGTGGTGTATTTCACATTGGTTCCATATGCTGGAAGCGTACCGTAATCCTACAGTAATGAAAAGCGATAGATTATTCGCTCCATACTGTAAATCTAAGTTGAACCCAGCTCTACCGTATGACACTTAAAGATCCGCGAAAGCTTTCCATATAGGGAAGTTATTATAGATCTGAGCCTTCCGCACCCACCGCAATCACTCGCCTCAGTCTGCAACTTGTCAACATGTAGGTGCAAAACCTTGCCATTCTTTATTATAGAATGATCAAACGTTCGATACATTTTCTGGGACATCTTGTATAGTCTAGAGATATAAGGCATTTGAAAAATCGTGCTCATGGCGCGACCGCGCGCGATACGCATGCGCCTTCCGTAAACCGTTATTTCTTGGATTTATTTCTACTCCACTGGTTTTTCAGCTTTTAATAATATCTAGACGCTGGAAGTGACTGAGCTGAGCGTTGAGGTGGTGCCTTTTTGGTATGAGTGTTTTATGCTCCTGTGCGCGCAAAGACCGCAGCTAAATCCGTCGTCACGATTTTATACTATACTAGATACCTTATTAATTTCAGATGACCTGTTTTCACGTTGTGTGCAGGTTCCGATGCAGAAGTTGCCATCTATTCCTGTCTTTCGCTTACCACGGTCTTCTTAGAGGCCTCGGTGGCTGCATCCACGAGTTCCACAATCTAGAGTCGTGTCCAGCAAATCTCATCCGTTCTATTCGTTTCACCAACACTCTGCCTATCCCATGGTCTTTTCTGTGGGCGTTTTTCTTCATGAGGAATCCACTTTGAGATTCTGAGTGTCTAACCACGTTCTTCTGATGATGTGACCGACTCATCGGTATGATTTCCGCAACGTCTTCCGCTGGTGCACCAAACCAGACATTCTTGTCCTATTCTCAATGCGAAGCTCCTGAGAGTTTGCTTGTGTCGAGCCTTCAGAATGCGCTCAAGCGCTTTGTGATCGGTCTCAAAGCTTTTGCATGGCTGCTTATCAGCCCATGTCTCAGCTGCGTGCCAGAGAAGCGGGAATACTGTTGAGTTAAACAGGTGGGTGCGAAGCTTCGGGTTCGTCAGCTAATCTATGGATTCTTTGAGAGGCCTGAAGGAGGCAGGCTGTTTTTCTTCTCCTGTTGAGTTCTTCCGTCATACCTGAGTACACAAGAAGAGTCTCCATGATAGGGGTGTCTTTCAATCTCATTTCAGTCTACACAAATGGAACTTGCTTCAGGAACTGAGTTCTCCTCCATAGTCGCAGTTCGACCTTTTTTCCTATTTCGTTTTGTTTCTCCAGCATCGTCTTTGCTTTAGTGGCTTTGATAGCGAGCGATGACGTTCGCAGGACGAAGTTTGAGGGGAATCCTCTATCAATTCATATGCCTTTCTCGTTCCAGTCCAGCATTCGTCTCTCGTCGCATTTCCATCATGAGCAGCTTCGGCTGGATTTTATTTATTTATTTATTTATTTATATGCACTCAAGGTGCGCCATTAAAAAGAACACAGAAATTCAAACACAAGTCTAACCAGTCACACAGTACATTCTGGTAGGATTTGTTACCAGCTGGCCAGACCTCTACAGGTATAAAGAATATAAAAAAGGCCAAGGCAGAAGAAATCACATTGAATAGTGTTATGTAGTAACACGATTCGTCTAATATTCTTAGCTGAATGCATAGGAGCGCCAGTAATTTATCATTAACAACATTACTCAGTGCAAATTGCTAGATAAGGTATCAATTTTAGAAAATTCAATTTTTTCTCGGAAAGCTTTGATCTTAGGCTTTAGTAATGTAGTAATTTGCTGTAGTGCCCAAAATAACGGAGCATGATGGGATACCCTAGTGCGGGTAACAGATCACTTTCGAGTGGCACGCTTTGGTGGTAGTACCTGGTATGTCAAGGCTTGACACGCCATGTGTATTGTTGAAATGGCTACTATATTGTGTTAAACCCACTCCGAGAGTTTTCTTTTGTGCTGGATCTAGATACGACCTTTAATGTTTTTGCCAGCATCTCAGAGTTACTGTAGGTATACTGTAGATGAAATTGCTCGTGGTTTTATCTCAAAAAAGCAGACCGATCCGTGAAACGCCTTCGTCGTCAATGTGTTAAAGCTTTGATCGCACATTCAATTTGCTTATGTTGTTCAAACATTTTGTCCTATTTTCGAATCGCCTTCCCAACAAATATGGTCATGGGCGATTTATTCGCGTCAAATTAAATATTCTACCCTAATGATTATTGCAGAATGAGTACAGCATACAAAACGGTATTGGGGTGGGTATTTATATCCGGTTTTTTTTCCATCGCACCTCTGTTCATAGATTCTAGTACCGTGTAACCTATGTATGAAGTGAATCGCCTATTCTCTTATGTTGATGTAAGAGATGGTGGGAACTCATTCCTGCGAGCCGTGTTACAGGATATTCCAAAATTTCTGAAACTAACTGTGATGGTAATTTGAGGCTGTTTTGATTACAAACTTTGTGATGGCCATGGACGATTTAAATAGAATGTTATTAAAATAATACAGTCACGATTCTGTGGGTGATTGAGAGAACTATTGTTACGCTTTAGCGAGTGTAGGTAGAGAAGACTAACGTAAAAATCTATGTTGTATGTAAAATCAACTACTAAGGTTTTGTAGTGTAAATGTGAGTTAAGATGGACATCCTGAGGGACCTCTGTAGACAAATTTTTACGCAAATTTTGTTTGTTGGAACTGTCATGCTCACTGCAACCCAGGAAACCCAGGAACCGTGCGAAATCAACATGATAATCATATTCATCCTACCATATCACGCCCTACGCGAAACTTCAGAGAAGTTATATTTTTGACCCCTACCGTACAGCTACCGTAACCATATAGGGAGATATTCGTTTTACGGGAAAGGTGTGATGTGATTGGCATATTGGATATCCTTCATTGAATCAGCTTTCAAAGGGATTCACGACTTTGAGATTTTGGGGCGTGGATAGTCGCACAGTGCCGTTGTTGGCCAAGAAGTTAGCAACGTCGACAACGTGTCTTAGCTTCGAAAGAAGAGATGGCACTGAAATCATCATGCCTTTGGTGGTGTCACGATATAAGGTAGCGAGCGTACTTCCACCCAAGATTAACGAACAGTAAATAAGTGTGTGCGAATATGGTATGTTGAGGGATGACTCAGGTCATTGTGTACCACACGTAGTAGTGAATGCATGTCTGCTATTCACAACCACACAGCGAGTTTTTAGGAAGGCGAAAAAGGCAAATAAGAATAAGAAACCCAATTCATACCGGTGCTGGTTTCTTGCAGTGGGAAGAAACGAGTTTCGTCACAGGTATGGCAGGGAATACAATCAAGACTGCAAAGATGATATAGCGCTTATTACACAGCTTTGGACTGTAAGTTGATTTGTGACTGCTAATTACCCTAGTTTCATGCGTAGAAGGCGCAGGGGATTTTTTTTTTCAAAATCTACCAGCAAAAAACGCCAAAAAGCTTCGCGATCAAAGAATCCTATACTGTGCTTGCCCAAGAGAATCGCATGGCATGAGGACCGCTCTCCAAACCGCAGTGAAGCGGCTGAGCAGCTCGCTTAAAACATCGAAAAAGGTGCGCCTTGTGCGGTGAAATTAGGGTACTTGGAGTTTTCAAAATCGAAACTGTTCAAAGTGTAACATCTCGCCTGTTGATGAATAACTCCAGAAGTTTACCTGTCGTAACTTTCAGCACGTCAGACTACAACAGCCTATGACCTGTTTGGTTTTATCACAAAAGCAAATTTGGCGCTTAGCATAAATGCCGGAAGCGTTGCAGCCGTGCGCAAGCAGCGTCTGACGACAGAACAGTGTTTCTGAAGACTTTAGCAGTGTGGGGATTTCGCTTTTTTTTCAGTCTCAGTCTTGGATTGCGCTCCTGTAATAGATAGGCGAAATCAAAGAAGATAAAAAAGTAACGCTGTTGCAAACTGGTAGATACCATATGCAAAAAAAACTAAAGGAGAAGAGCGTAGCGAAAACAGTGACACTCACAATTTAAAACTTAAAGTCAGTCTTTACATTAGAGACATTGTGCGCCATACGCGTTTTTTGGCGATTCATAGTCACACGAACACTTCAGCTCTCTTTTTCTCTCCCCGCTCTTGCGCCAGACTTCCATGTTTAGAATACAATCTCAAAGTCTCAGAATCGCTGCATCCTGGACCCAGAGCAGTTTGAGATAGACAACGTTACTCTTCTTCCGTAGCTCAAAACGCTTTGGAACCAAGTTGGCTTCAGAAATGCTTGTCCTGCTGATTTCGAGCATGTAGGCCCAACGTAGAAGTTCCATTTGTTCCCGTCCCTCGTCTCTGTCATCCATGATCTTCTTGGCGGTGGCGTCGTTGGCTTCATCTGCGAGCTTCAGGTACTAGTGCTTACTTCGCTAAATTCGCTACTATTCCCGTTCTGCGAGCACGTCTGCCCATCACTTGGTGTGGTCTCCCTTGTGGGGCCCTTGATTTCGCCAGAAATCCACTTCGAGGTTCATAGGGTTCTTCTACGTGTTCTTCTCATGATTTGAGCGATTCATAAGTGTTTTTTGCAACGTCTTCCGTTGGTTTGTGAAGACGGGACCTGCGAGATCTTGCTTGTTGGGTAAACTACAAAAGACATTCCAGCGTTTTGCGGGTAGTCCATAAAGCTTTCGACTGTGGCAGCAATGTCGGCCACGGTATCAGCTAGGTAACGGAGCGCCGGAGAACGATCGAGTCGAACATTTGGGCTTCAAGCTCCGGCTCCGTCAGTGGTCGGTGGCTTTTTTTAGAAAATCCGAAGGCCCACGCTTCTCCTGTTGGATTCTTCAAAGTTTCTTCCATGTTAGTGAATTATTTCCAGACTGCTTTGGTAATAATAGATGGTTATGTGGGACACCTTTGAAATGCTGCTTGAATGGCACAGTCAGAATATCATGTCTTGGGTTGTCGCTGGCACGCTATACGGTTAGAGCAATTGTCTTACCACATAAGCCATAATCCGACTTGCTGCTATGGTGGTTCAAACATGAATCTTGATACGTGTAGTAATCTAGAAAATGTACATCTATCAAACGTAGTGCTTCGAACGACGACGGCGCCTGTCTTCGCTGTTCTCCACTCAGAAGGCCGCCACGCTTGCTTCGGCTTGTGACACACCCCATGAATTTCATTTGGAAAAATTTTGACATGCTATTTATCTATTATGTTAGCCAAAACCTTATGCTTGAGTGAGTTAAGCCTGATTTGCTTTCATTTAGTAGTTACTAAAGCACAATCACTAGAAAAAAGCATTTTTGGCTGACTACTACGTAATTCTCCTATTTGAAAGCATCTGTTTTACCCTATTTGAAATCATCTGTTTTACCTCCAAGATTAGTGAATAAGGATAGAAGAAGAGGAGGTTGTATCAAGGCATGGTTTATGTGTTGCATGTTGCCACAACTAGATATAATAGTGAATGCATCTTCTGCCATTTAAAACCACATAGCGGCTTTTTAGGAAAGTAAAAAAGACGAAGAAAAATAAGAACTCCAGTCCATACTGGTACTGGTTTCTTGAAGTGGGCAGAAAGGAATTTTATCGCAGATATGGCAGGGATTACAATCACGACTGCGAAGACGATAGAGCGCTTATTACAGAGCTTTGGGATGTAAGTTCATTTGTGACTAATAAGCTTTGGGGTGTTTTAAAGGCAGCATACAGGCAAATCTGGACCTATGGGAATTTTACGTGGAAAGTAATTTTGGGGCCCTAAAAAGCACTGCCCAACCGGCAGCTCAGGTAGTGCTCTAAAGGCTGAGATATATGCCTCCTAACCTGAGCACAGGATCGTATTCGCATAGATTCATAGCACTACCCATCAGTTTCGCGAGAGGACCAGCGGGTTGCGCCATGAATCCACGCGAAAGATTCTGGAGTCCAGTTTCAAAGGGAATAACTCAACCGTTAGAGCACTGCCTGAGCCGCCGGTTGGGCAGTGCCTTAGTTAGGGCCCCAAAATTACTATCAAGTGAGATCCTCATATATCCAGAATTGCCGGACGCTGCCTTTAGGGTAGCGTCCCCATGCAGTGCATAAGTAGGGCCTAGAAGTAGACACCTGCGTTGGTGCTGTCCGTTAATTCCTTCCAGAAGGAGAATTTTCAGTGGCTTATTTATTTTTGTAGGTAATTAAAATAATTTTCAAATACCACCACTCCCCCTTTTCTCTGAAATTTCGGGGTTATGGGCTGGCAGAAATTTTATTAAGCGTCCCAAAAATCTTTTTGAAATGCGTGGCGATGTGATATTCTGAAGTGATTCGCTCAGCAACCACGCGAGATATTGCACTTTTCAAGTGATTATAATTCTGGCCAGTAATATACGGCGTATTGAATGCATCAATAATGGAGGGATTTCAACCAAAAGACTGCTATAAGAATGAAATCCAGGGCAAAAACTCTCTAGTCGACTACACACAGTCTTTTCGATAGTTTTCTCCGCAGTAGATTTTTCTTTTTTTGAGAACACAGCTATCGCCTTTTTCTGTTTGCAGCCTGTAAAGGAAGCGTGGGACAAAAATATGTTGAAAAGGAAAGAGGATTTGAAAGGAATTATCCGCGAGTTCTATTCATTTGGAGAGGTAAGGTTTGAAACTATCGTTTAGAGGTCCAAAAAGGAGATTTTGAAGAATGAGAGAGCAAATCAATCCTTCATCAAAAGGAGGCCTACAGACCATCGCCCTCCAAGTTTCCCCCTACCAAATCGACCGTGCGAGTCGATCGTAAGTTCGACTTTGTTTGCATCCGATTGAGTTCATTTTCTGCAGTTTTAGGAACAATATGACGTTCGTGCAAGGCGAGAAAATGGAAGACTTGACCTGTTAGATAGGCTCAAATTCCTTGATGCTCAGAAAGGTATGTATGATGTTAAATCTGGCCGGAACACCGAGCTGATTCAATTTTAACAAATTTGCATTACCTAAAGGGTAAACTACAAATGTATTTGAGGTAATGCAAATGCATTGGCTCATTGTACAAATTAAAGGTAAATTGAACCTTGCTCCATGTTAGGGTTAAATTTGCCTTGAGTTTATACCTTGACGGGTATGCGCTTTCAAGGTGTATTTTGACCTCCGGATAAGAAGGCAAATTTCAAGAAAAAAAAATATTTAGTGTCCTTGAAGCTTTGGCAAAATCTTTATCACGCTTTCTTGCCTTCTCACTTCCTTTTGCTCATTGTGTCTTCCTTTCTCTCCGTTTCTGATTGAAATTGCGGAAAAACACAGTGCTTTGATACCAAAAGTTTACAAGAAAGTGCAAACTGGCTCATACTTGTCTCTCTATTTTTCACTGTATGTACCAACGAAAGGACATGACATTGTGAGGGCGTTATTGCTAGCCTAGCACAATACAAACAAACCCAGTTCAATGGTTTTCATGCTCCCAGGAAACTCTGGCCTAAATCCAGTACTTCGCAGAATTGAATGGGTATATGATAGCGGGATCGAATTGTGATACATGGTACAAAACCGTCGTTAATTCGAATAGAGGCGTTCAGGATGTAACTAGGTCGGCAGATTTGCTACCATCTGCTTTTCATCATCCATAGATTGCAAGAAATCTTGTTTGCTACATATCCAAATGTTTTGCAACCCGTTCTTGGACCTAGACATTAGTAATCCATGGAAAACTCGAGTTTGGAATAGTCGAATTCATAGCAGAAACCTTTACTAGATACTCTGATTAAAAACTCAAATGTTGCTGTTGTTATTGGTTTCAGATCGCATTTGATGCAGTTTTTTTTTCATAGTTATAAAGTAAATTTCCTGATAATTTCTGAATATTGGTAAAGTTCATAACTATATTTGCATCGGCTCAAAATTGATTTTATTTTACAAATTTCTGTTCTAGTCTTTTGGAAAGTTCAATAGTATACAGATAAAGCAAGTCGTACAATATGCACAACAATATGTAGATCTCACTGATCAACCAGCACCGTTTTATGAAAAACCTCTTCAAGTACAGCAGCTTTTGACAATCAAATAATTGAAATATGTACTCTTTAAATTGGCAGTTAGGACTTTCAAATTGAATGTTATCGGCTCCAATAACATATTGTGAAATTTATGCGCGCAAAGGAATGGATTTCGGAAGACGAGAAGTAGTTCGGAAGTAACGTTTCTGCTTACTTTAAGGATACAAAACAATAATTGCAAAAATAATGCCAGGGGTATATTTGAGTTTGAGAATTTTACATATTAAAGATGCTGTTGAAGACGCTTGATGAAATAGCTTCAAGCTAAAAAAAGAAAAAAAAGAAATGCATCGACTAAGCTGTAATTCGCATTTGTTTGATGCCTAGTCAAAGAATATGGGAAACAAGCTTTCGTATCAATTGTATTATGCAAACAATTTGCAGCAGGTAGATGGCAAATCAAATTTGTTTTTAGCCGAGTTCTCATCCGTCGTACTGCAGCTGATCTCTGTTTTTCCTTATACTACTGCATTCTCATCAATTGGTGATTTTTGTGTTTATCCAGCGGAAATCTCTGTCACTCACTTTACCTTGGCAAATGGTAGGTTCCTTATTCTGTGTTTGCGGAACTCTTTGTATATGATGTAAGGAATTCAGGAGCTAGTGCTAGCTGGTCAAAGCTTATTTCTTTTCATCCGGATATGTTTTATGGAAGTCCAGTTCCACCTTGGGATCAGAATAATGTTGCACGTAATGGTACGTCTCTTGCAATCTTCTTCATCAATGCGTTTGGGTTGAGTTCTTAACACTGCCAACATGCGCTCTCCTGATGAGCTACCCCCTCATATGCCTAGCATATGAAAGTCGACTAGCACCCGGTTCACTGGTGCGAATCGTTCGTAATATGCGTTACTCTAGCCCATATGATATCACCATCTACCCGAATCCGATATCGTTAGAATTTTAATGCACTACAATAGCGAGGCTCTTGAGTGAGAAACTGCCAAATTTCGGGTCACAAAGTCTATTCCGAAGCGGGAAAAACGGTCTAGAAGATAGGTGCTGTTGGGATCGCCACACCCATCTTCGCCGGTGATCCAAAGGTCATAAGCCCGAAACTGGAATCCAACTTTGACAGTGTCGAAAATATGCTTTCCGTTGTGAATGACACGTTTTTGACATTGCCAGGTGCTTCGTTCATCACTTTTAGGCCATCTACGTTTATGGGCGTGGTGACTTCGGCTGCATCTTTTCTGCACCAATTTTCTCGCTTCGTAGTGCACTTTTTGCAGCAGGACTTGGCAGTTACTTGACTATGGGTCTCACTATTGTACTGCATCAAGTCCTTAGCAATCTCAAATTTGGATGGATGATGCCTTTGACATATTAGTCAAAAAGGAAAAGAAACATAATATGCCCGAAATTTTATGCACGGAGACAGCTTTATCCGGTGCCCGTGCAGTTCATCTTCGAAACATTGCCTCTTCTGTACCGTACCTCCTTCATATCAGCGGTCCGATTTTGAAGATCTGTGCGATCATAACAAAGTATCGAAGAAAAAAAGACTTCCAGGTTATACTATAGTATCATTAGTAAAAGGTTGAGAATAGTCGAATTCTTAATGCTGTTTTACATGTCAGCTGTGAAATGTTATACGATAGTTGTCAACGAGTACAGTTATACGATAAATGTCAACATTACTTCGCCGTAATTATCAACGAACCCTAAACTAAAACAAACTTTGAGAGCACCTATCCGTATGCGAAATCACTTCCTATATCTCAATGTAGGTAAAAACCTTGAGCCGTTGACCCGTATTCATGGATATACCGGAAAAATAACTTGGGATAATGCAAATTCATTGGCCCAAGGTACTAGTTCATGGTAAATCTTTGCTCCATTGTAGTGCAAAATCTACCTTGAACTTTGAAGGCAGTGTTCGGGCAAAGAGTCGATTCTGAGATTTTGTGCTTATCCGGGCCTATTCGCTATACTGAATCCTAAAATTCCAATTGGCGAGCGAGAAAACGGCGAAAAGGGCTCTAACGCAGGAGGGAAATTCGCTTATGGGCGGGGTCTTCCTCACTGTGTAGCTTATTTGTATTTATTCAAGCTCCCAGCTTCCGTAGCAATCAGCTCGCTTTTGGTTTCAAGTCACGCGCTCGAACTCAGGCGGTGGCGATGCCAGGGCGGCTAGTGGAATCAAGAAGGTCGGTCCGGAGGCTGGGAGCGTGAATTCACAGTGAGGAAGACCCGCCCACTTGCTGATTTCCCTACTGCGTTAGAGCCTTATTCGCCGTTTTCGCGCCTCCAGTGTTGATTTTCGGAACGGATTAAATGCTGTTTCACATACCTTGAGATAGAAGCGATTATCTGGCCATACGGGTATGCGCTCTCAAGATCTATTCAATCTCGGGGTTCTTTTGATACGGCTGCCTAGTTCTGTTTCATTTGATATTTCAGCAGCGGCATTGGATATTCCAACGAAAGAAGTTGTCGGTGTTGCACCACATGAAGTTTGGAGAATGTTAAGAGAGCGGCATAGTCCCCGAGCAATCACGATATGCGATGCTAATCAGCTGTTGTTGGTTGATCGCTCCCTGTTTTTCCTGGCATGTACTGCTGGAGAAACTGAAGTAGCCGTCTATAGAGGTCTGTATATGCGAAGCCCCTTCTGTCACCAGTATAGTCTTTGTTCCAGAATGGATATCTTCGATGGTTACTGCACAAGATCTGGTACTTGCCTTAGCAAAGCACAAAGCAGATACTGAGCGTAGCAGTGTTCCTGAAAAATTCACTTATGAGGAAGTTGATAGAGAATTCAAGGTGAGTCATTTACAGCGAATAACATCGCTGCATATTCTGCATCCAAGGAGCATATCTCAGAAATGAAGATTTTGAATAAATCATATGTTCTGTGCAGCTTTTTCCCTGTCACGTACAGATATTGTCTCAGATATTGTCTGTGTCTAAATCGCTCACCAAACTATCTTGTTGTAATCTGTTTGCGTGCCTTTGTCATTCTGATCCAAATCATGATTTCAGCGCTTGAGGGAAACTACAAGATGTTGTACATATCACACTAACAGGCCACCCGACCATGATTCTAGGCAGAAGTGCGCTCTTGCAAAAAATGACGTCATAATGTTAGTTCTTTTATTCCACTCTAGATGGTCAGTCAAGCCTCATTTCAGTGACACAATTTATTCTCTTTGCTGCACCGGTGATCTGGCTAACTTTCGTAGTCTTTACAATCCTGAGGTGCACTCGGTTGGTATAGAAGGTGGAATTCAAGAGGATGTGGCCGATCAAGATATCACTAAGTAAGTTTCTAACAATCCGTATAGTTTATCTATCCTTATGAGCTACCATCAGATTCATCTTATGCTTTTACGCAATCATGGAAGCATGCGGGGAGCATTTAGCAAACAAAATATCTGAATCCATCATTAACCCATCCAATGTGGCTACAGGTTATTTATATAATAGTGAAAACGGATTTGACTGCGGTGTTTGAGCCGATAGGAGCATAAAATACTCATACAAAATGCATCACCTCAATACTCTGTTCAGTCACTTCCAGTGTCTGAATATTATCATAGGTAAGGAGGAAAACCATACGAGTAGGGATGAAAAACAAGAAAAATGCGGTTGATGGAGGTGCGTGCGTGTCGCGCGCGATCCCGCCATCTTCACGATTTCTCAAATGCCCTATAACCACTGATGACAAATATCGCAGTTATTTCGAACTGCATTTCCGTAGAGGCTAGGTACATGTTGGTAAGGCACGCGCGAATCCGCTTGATCTGCTTGATCCACTTCATCCACTTCGCTATGGGTCAAATCAGTGAGCTGATCATTAGCGAATCGGTTGTCCACTTGATCCACTTTATCCACTCAATCCACTTCGCTATTAGTCAGTTTACTGAATAGACTCCGGAATAACGAAGAGAGCAGAGGAACCCCTGGGCGGCAACACCCCTTCAGTAATGCCCGCCCATCCAAGGATGGGAATTGTGGTTTTCACCTCCGAATGACAAAAACATAGCAGCCCAGAATCCGGGTGGACGTTGTCTGTAACCTCTTTGGGCGAACTTATGTCAAATCCGAGTTTTTACCATCGTGTTGAAAGCCACAAGCGCAGTTTGGATGCTTTGCGCATTTCGAAGAATTTTGGTGTTATGTGGGATCTTATCCATAGTTGCTGGTTCAGTTTGGTTCGGAGCGCAAGTGTTTAGTTTTTTGCCCGTAAATGTAGCATTTTTTGAATTTTCGGTATCAAATTACTCTTCTGAAAAAAGTTTTGCCTGCTCTCCGTCTGAATCCAGAATGTGTAAGGAAACTGAGGATATAGATCCGCTAAAATTTTGGAAAGCATCCTAAAGATTTTTGAGGGCCACCGAAGTGACGGTGAGTCCGTGTTTGAAGATATTTGGAGGCTATGTTCCGCACCTTCTGAGGCTCAGATCCACTTATGGGCAACAAAGATTCAGAAATTCTGTGTGCGCTAACAGTAGAAACAAAAATCAAATAGAAAATTATTTTTACCCCTTTCAAGGAGGAGGAATCAATTTATTCTAATGAGTTCTTCATATTTCAGCTAATGATCTACCCTCATTTCAGTGCTACAAACTTGGCAGATTTTGATGAGACGTCTTCAGAGGAGGACAGTGATGGTAAGCTTTATGTTTTCTTTTTCCATCATCTTTCTTTCTAGTACCTGCTGGTCATATTTCCTCCCTGGTTTGGGGTCGGTGGTAAGCATTTTTGGAAGATACCTAGATCGTCCGTAAGGCATGCTGTTGTTACAGAGGCTTATAGTCTTTGTCATTACGTATTCCCTTTCCTTCATCAATCACGCATACGCAGCGCGAGGCCCTTGCGTGCGGATCTTCAATCGATGAGACCAATTTGAATGTCCGAGCTATACGCACGCGGTGCAAAGCTCCGGCGGGGCGATTGCGCAAAGGGAGCACGTGATTGATGCAAACTGTACCTGTACTTTTACTGTTCGCATAAGCATGATATGACGGTTTTCACTGCAGCAGAAAAATGACAGAACATTTGATTCAGGTTCTCCGAAAGGATTTGTGATGGAGTATCGAGTTGTTAAAACTGTGCCAGATTCTCCACCAGAAAAAGAAAAAAGTATGCAGTGTCTTTTCTTCCAGAGCCACAGCCTCTACCTTGTTTTTTTTCAGCAGCGGTGGACCTCGCTGCAGCCATTTCACGCTTATTGCGTGAATCCACCCTTGACTGTGACCATCCATTCTCCGTATAACACGATATGGCATTAGTGATAATATTCTGCGGGTCGAATGCATCAAGAAAATTGTTGCACTTAGCTTACATGAATGCCTTCTCATTTTGGTGTGCAAAAAATTATTGTAGTAGAGTCTGAGTCAATCAATATTTATGCTCCTCAGAGGTTTGCATATAAGATGAATACTCGTTATATTGGAGTGATTTACCGATGTCTGCCGTCTTGCAGTACTTGCATCCGTTGCGCAACGCTAAATTTCTTCGTATTGTGCACATAGGTCATTTATAAAATCGTGACGACGTATTTGACAGCAGTCTTTGCGCTCACAGGAGCATAAAACACTCATACAAAAAGTATCACCTCGTTGTTCAGCTCAGTCATTTACATTCGAGTAGATTTTCCGCTTAATATAATGTGCTTGCGCTGAAGGTGCGGTAAAATTTGCGCGTAAAGAATTAGGCTCCCGCCAGAGTGCCGAAGTTATGCCAGCGCTACGCCAGCATTTCGATCGATACACGTGTATCGATCGAAATGCTGGCGTAGCGCTGGCATAACTTCGGCACTCTGGCGGGAGCCTTAGCCACGCCAGTAATGCCGGCATTCTGCGCGCGCAATTAGCCGGCTTGACAAGCGTATAACTCATTCGTTGACCGCACGGACTGGACACCGCTACGGAGCACGCGCCGCGAGGTAAAACGCTTGCCCCAGTGCAAATCCGCCATTGTACAAATTATGCTCTCGCAACATTTTAGCCGCGCCGCGCGTGGTCCGCAGCGTCTGAGCAGTTCGTGCGGTCAACGAATCAACGATAGCTATTTGTTCACGCACAATTAACCGCTTTCACCTACAGTGCAAGCACACTATATTAAGCGGAAAATCTACTCGACTGTACATTGTCTGAACTATCATACTTAAGTAAAAAAAAACATTCAACTAGAGATGAAAACCGAGAAAATGCAATTGCCGGCGCGTGCGTGTCGCGCACGGTCGCGCCATCGTCACGATCTTTCGAATGCCGTATACCTGTAATTTAGAAAGGGCCAGAATCAATAGCAGAAGAAGCGACGCGGATGTAGGTATTGCTACAAATTATTCAGTGTTACAGTACTCTGTGGCAAGTACAGGTTTTGTTAAGATTTTTAACATTTGCAGTGTACCATTCCATCATTTGCATCATCAATAAAATTTGGTGAACCTCCTATTACTTACTATTGCGGTGCAGACAGTTCATCTATTCACCTTTATTCATCACAATGAGAACCACCTTGATGATTACATTTGTGGTCGGCCCCACGATTCGTGTACACCCTGGTAGATTCGTGGACTCAAACAAAGTGAGACTTTTGCTATTATTAATAGGTATTAACGAACCAAAATACTTATAATGATCGTTCTATCGTTTTGGACAGCAGTATATGAAAGTTTCACTTTCTCACTTTCTTCCTTACTTTCTCATTTTCAAAAATGTATTTTGAGAGAAGACTACAGGTCCGCAGAGATACATCCGATCGGAAAAAAGAAATTCTCAGAAGCTGGTAAGGTGAAGAGTATAACGCAAAACACCTTGTAAGCCCTGATCCTCACGAAAAGGACGCATCATACCTCCCGGTCGTTCAGAAAACTAATTTGTATCAAGCTTTCAGCAAAACTCGAAAGCAAAAAAAATTCCGCAAGTAACAGATACTTTATTATCATGTCTACAAAAAAACCACAATATTCAATCAAGAGAATGTTCAATAAGAATTACACAAGAAGACCCGTCGTCAATGGGATCAAAACGCGTCGCGCAAAGATAAACAAATGGCTAATTTTTAACAAACTCGCTTGTCAGATGACAGGAAATAAGCATCATAATAACAGTTACAATGATAAGAATGATTGAAGCATGTTGGAGATACAAACAGAAAGAGAATCTAACAACCAAAAAATTGAATTAATAGCCAAGTTGTTATCGGTATCAGGGAGCCAGCCGAATCCATAGCACACCATGAAATGGGAGAACGAATAACAGCAGAAACAGGGAGTCATTCACATAGACGGTCGAGAGTCGACAAAGCGCCAACGTGCCTCACTGGCCACACTGTTGGTGGAGGAGACAGACGAAAGAGCTTCTTGAGCCGAGCACACCGAACTCAGAATAACCGAACGGAGAAGAGACATTAGCTCGTCCCATAAAACGCGACGCGTACCGCCCACCGAACACGGGCCTCTTCATGACAACACACACAGAACGAACGACGGAGTGGAGAACGCAGGAAGAGTAGCTAGCTAATTATTGTACGTGAGGAAGTTCAGAAGATACAACACAAACAAATGACGAGGATATAAATTAGACAATTACAATTAGTAGCGGGAACTGACAGCACCTGATTAGTTGCCAAACCAATCCTCTTGTGGAGGAGCACGATTACTTTGACGTTGAGTTGAACCGCCGAAGCCGCCACCGAATCCGCCGCCACCACCACCGCCGCCACCGCCACCACTACTGTTCTGGTAGCCCCGTTGACCACCGAAACCACCAGAGCCTTGACCACTGCCGCTGTATTGAAGACGGTGATCGCGACCTACAAAACAATGAAATTTTCCAAAATTCGTGCAGTTAGCAGGTGTGAAACTGCTGGAGTATGAGGTATTATAGCGTCTCAGTAACAAACGAATGCAAGCTTCTGCATCAGTTGACGACAATAGATCGCGGCAGTTTTAAACAAAAATTTTATTAGAATTTATAGTTTCCTCGAAACGCTCGCAAATAATACGCATTAGAAATAGCTCTCAAGCTTTGACCAATAAGCTGTCAATGAAAGAGCAGTCACTTGCATGGAACGCTAAAAGACATCCTATTCTGATGGGAAAAAAATGTTGGAAAGCAAAGACAGTCGCTTCACTAATATTTACTGAAAGCCGTTCAACTTAAGAAAAAAGGCTCAAATGGCTCGTAAAAAGTGCCAAGTATAGATGCACACTGATTTTTTAGAACAGCCTGTAAATGACATGCGCGATTGAAAAGTTCCAAGCAACGTTTGGATCACTTGTACAATATATCCATCTCTGGCCTCCACAAAAGCGTTCAAGAAGGCGTTATTAAAATTTGGCTATGAGTACAGTACAAGTCCCGTGAGCGCAAGTAGCTGATGAAAATGAGAAAAAATTTAGATCAAAAGTGGCTCGTAGCCGTTTCAGTAACCACTTCAACACTTGATAATCCTGGTTGAACAGACATTTCGCACAGTTATTTTTGAGTGGCAAAGCATGATAGGCATATGTTCTCTTATGACCAATGCCATTGTCGGAGGCAATTCAAAAAAAAATTTTTTTTTCGAGCGCAACTGCGCTTTCTACCATCCTGTGTACTACAGCAATCCTACCTCCGAATTTGTTTCCTCCACTACCACGACCACCACGGCCTCCACCGCTGCGGGTGCCATAGCGTGCTACATCGCCAGCAACACGTTCTAGCCAATCTGGTAGTTCCTAAAAAGAACCCCTCAATTTTTTCATATCAAGTTGACGTAGTGCTTCGTACCTGGTTTGCTTCAACGATGAGGTCCATCAAATCTCTCGCAATGTTTCTGTTCTTTTCATTAAAGAAAGATGTCGCAAGACCTTGAAAACAATTGTAGGACTTGGCCATAAATGAGGGAAGATATGAGCAATTACCTATGTTTCCAACACGTCCCGTGCGACCGATACGGTGCACATACTCATCTATCTCAGAAGGTAGATCATAATTTATCACATGTTTGACATTTGGAATATCGAGACCGCGAGCTGCAACTGCTGTCGCCACCAATACTGGGGTAGCTCCAGACCTTGAAAAAATTGTATTTTTCAATGACAGAACCCTTCACAAACGCACCTGAAAGAATCCAAATGTTTTTCCCTTTCAAACTGTTTAAGATCACCATGGATTGCTACCACTTCATAACCAGCATTTTGCAGATAGTACGAGAGATCGGAAGCTCCACGCTTTGTTTCGACAAATACCAGCGTAAGCGAATTTTCGCCTCCGGCATCCAACAGATCCATAAGATATGAACGTTTCTCATGCTCTTCAACCCAAACGACCTGAAATCCTTCTTTATGACTGGGTATAATTTAGCGTCGTTGTGCTGCTCTCACACTATCCTCAATGTGAAATATATTTTGATCAAACGAAAAAAGCGCCCGTGAAAGCGCTGGAGTGGCGTAAGTAAGACTTATAGAAGAGTCAACAAAAGTAGATCACATCAGGTTGCCTCTCCATTTAAGTTTATGTTCACACTCACGCTCAGAAAGTACATCACGTGCAAGCTTTCAAAAAATGTCGAGCGAGCCCTGATAATTTCAAAAAAAGTTATCAGAATGTGTCAAAAGATAGATATCGCAGAAGTGAACCCACTGATGCCGACAGAATTTCGCACAAATTTCCGAGCAGTTATGTCTGAAACGCTCCGTTACAAGCAGAGTCACAGTTAAGAGATGTTTACTAAAAACTCAAATTTGTAAAGTTTGGATCTCTCATTCATTATTGATAGTAATAATTACTAAATTGGTAGCAATGGATGCTGGTGCCTTGTTGCACATCGACTCAAATATTATTGTGATTCTACTAATCCTTTGTTCACGGAGATGGACAGATAAAATGCAAAGAACTACAAGCAAACCTTTTGCATTATGTTTTCTGAAGTTGATCCAACTCTGCCAACAGCCAAGAACACGTAGTTAGGCATAAGAAAATCTTGTGCGAGTACCTAGTAGGAATGAGTTGCAAATCTTGATGAGGAAGAACAGAGACCACGAAAAACGACTACCCACCTGGATCTCCTTGGGGAATGTCGCGGAAAACATCGCAGTCACACGTTCACCTCTACCAGGCATCGTTGACAGATCAACAATCTAAAATTCGACGATATCAAAAGCAATGGATTAATCTTATGCGTACCTGACGAATCTGCGGTTCGAAACCCATATCAAGCATGCGATCGGCTTCGTCGAGAACAAGATAGCGACAGCCTCTCAAACCAATGTACTCCTGCTCCATTACATCGATCAACCGTCCCGGCGTAGCAATAAGTATATGACATCCAAGCTTGAATCAGAATTTTGAGCTGCATATTTTCGAACGTAAAAGACCAGCCCTACACGTAATTTGTTGATTTGGTCTCTATAGTTCTCTCTGCCACCATAAAGCAATGCTGAAGTAATTGGTGTGCGGTAGCCAAACTTCCGCGATTCATTGTAAATCTATAATATCCAGATAAAAAAGGCGCTTTGGAATGTTGAGCCAAACATACTTGCAATGAGAGTTCTCTCGTAGGTGAGAGCACTAACGCAGATGGGTACTGCTTCTTACGACCGTGATGAGACATGGTTGGAGGATGTTGCGCTCCGGGTCCATCCTATGATAAACACAGTGTTAGAGATTGCGAGTGGATAAATAATTGTGGAATTGTAAGAATGATGTCTGTCAACAACAATGAAACAACCGTAAAATTTCGAGTCAACACTACGAAGAGGAGCAAAGGCTTCTTTCTCAAACCACTTTTCGTGATCACCAAACTAAAACTTGCAAAAAAGAGAAACTTAGCAAAAAAAGTAGAAAATTCTCAAAACTCTTAAAACTTTAAAAACCGCAATTTGCTCTGTATGGATCAGCTCCACAAGATGAATCCTCAATGATGCGGCCCTTTGATCATGCACCATGGACTTGAAGAAAAATAGTAGCCGATAGTAAATAGAACTCAACTAAAACTACTCTACCCTCAAAACTGCTTCATTTAACCAACTATGTGTAAATACCTATGGCTCTACTTTGAATCATCTAATCAAGCTAATAACAAGTTCTTTGCACAAGTCTCCAAGAAAATGTTTGAGGTATGTGAATTCCCTCAAATTCTTTTGAAACAGTGGAGCAGATGGATTTAAAGTCAAAGCCTGACCAAAGCAGTTTTGAGAACTGATTAAAATCATATGAAAAGAAGTAGAAAATAACAAGATACAGCTTTTTACTTAGCCGCATGACCAAAACTTACTTGCAGAATTGCATTGATCAAGGGAACTAGGAAAGCAGCCGTTTTGCCAGATCCCGTCTGTGCGCAGGACATAAGATCGCGTCCAGACATTAGCGCAGGAATTGAGTACTTTTGTACTGGAGTGGGGCGATTATAGCCGGATTTTTGAATGTTCTCCTCAATCCAAGGATGGAGCTTCAAGTCAGAGAATAGCGAGATTGGCTGAGGCACATCATCTCCGGTAGCTTCTACGGGAATTTCCTCGTATTTGTCGAAATTTATTCCGGACAACTGGCCGGCAAATAGTTCCGCCTCTAAGCGCTCATCTCGTGGTTGCTGGCGCTCCCAACGAGTAGACGGGGGTCCATCTTCGCGCAGGCCTGCCCAACGGCTATTTCTAAATTTCGAATATTGCTGAGGGTCAATCATCACCTCGACTGCTCTGAAAAGTGCACTCTCATCTAGATACTCACTTGCCCTCTTCGCGATCGCCATTATCTCTGCGCATCTCCCTTGGCTGCGAGTCGAACGATCTGTAACATGATACGAGTACAAAGAGGCTTCAACTGACTAACACCAACATAGGTTAATTGTATACCTCTGATTGGATCCGCGTCCACCACCCCCCTGATAGTCATCATGACCATAGCCACCACCATTTCTTTGACCACGATCAGAAAAACGCCCACTGTTGCGTCCCGAGTAGCCGCGATCATGATCATAACGACCTAGAAAGATCTAAGTTTTGCACCCGTCACCGGAATATATGTTCAGTGAAGTAGGTATTAAAGAACATAAATCTAATATAAGTTATTTGTATGAGGAAGAAGAGATCTTCAGAGAACATAAGTTCTTTGAATTCACGAACTACACGAAAGTTTTCAGAAAAAAAAAAGAAATGCTTCTGAACACTACAACGACTGAGCTCAGCATATATACGTTCTTACTATGGCTAAGCGTCTAACGCGGAGTCTGAAAGGCTTGCGATAAACTTTGCATCGTAGCCAAAACAACAGTTGTAACACATTTTCAAGCTCGTCATTTACTTGTTAGCAATAAACGCTACAATGGTTTTATTAAGTAATTTCCTACGACACCCCCTACGGTACTTCAGATGTGACAAGTCAGCCAATTCCAAGCGAGTTCGAACTTAGCTATCCTTGGTAGCCTTGGGTAAACTACGGATGTAGGTTTTCTATCCTAAGATATTATGGTAATGAATTTGATTTCTAAGATTAGGAGGCATAGGAAGCTCAGACTCCCCCCAAATAATGGGATGCGTCGGCTCAGAATTCCCCAAGACGCTGGGTGAGGGAACTTAGGAACCCGAGCCTAATTATCTCGATTCGGGGAGTGCCTGCAGGTTACAGTCATGCTCGCTGTCTCTGATTGCTCACTAGGACATAGCAACAATCTAAGCCCCGCCCCTATGAGAGCCTGTTTGGAACCTAGCCAAGGAATGCTAAAAATCTCAATTGAATTTCAGGGCTGGCTCTGAGCCAAAAACCTTCAAAGTGATCGTACGAAGGTGAAATTAGGCTCAAACGAAAGAGGATAACCGTGCCATCATCATAAAGTATCTACTGATTAAACACAATATTCTCTTGGTTCAAAACTTTATTTAAATGTTAAATACTGAGAAATTATTCAAAAAGCCGTCAAGTTTCTCAAAAAAAAATTTATTTGAGTGCTAATTCCTAGCAAAAAACTAGAATAACATTGAATAAAATGACAGTAAACTTCCCAAGATTGATAGTTATTCAAATGCTGAAATTTAGGCGAAAGACTAGAAAATCAATCGCGAAACGACAGTTTGTAAAATTCTCAAAAATAAAAGTTTATTTGTGTGCGGAAGTTTGGGCAAAAGACTAGAATATAAAGAAATGACAGTTCAAAAACTTCACTAATGATATTGCTGAGTCTGTCAACGACAGACGATTCTGATGTGCGAAGAACATCCTGCTAATATGCTGGAAGCAATGACCTCAGCCTACGCAAGGAAAGGTTGCAACAGTTTGAGGCGAAATTTTCCTTATAAATAGTAGCATAAAGGGTGAAAACCATTTATCGTTACTACCGATATCTCAACTTCCCATGTCTTACGACAATTATTTTTATTCCCACATGCAGCATCTGCTGCAACAATTTTATTCTTCGGCAGACCCCAATTGTGTTCCTGTACTAAATTGGGAGCCTCAGGTGATTTTGGTAGCAAATGTGGTAGTTTTAACTACTGAGTGGAATTTCTTGATATGATTTGCTCGAAATTCAGAGCTCAAAAAGAACTATTATTTCTGAGACGTTCTTGATTTGTCATTTCTTGATATTCTAGACTTTTGCCCAGACTTCCGCACACAAACAAACTTCTATATTATTTTATAAACTGTCGTTTCGCAATTGATTTTCTAGTCTTTCGCCTAAATTTCAGCATTTAAATAACTATCAATCTTGAGAAGTTTTTGGATTGTCATTTCTCGAGATATTCTAGTCTTTTGCCCGGATTTAGCACTTAAATAAATTTTTTCTGAAACTTTTTGAATAATTTCTCAGTAAACACTTAAATAAAGTTTTGAACCAAGAGAATGTTGTGTTCAATCAGTTTCAATCAGTAGATACTTCATGATGATGGCACGGTTCTTTTCTTTCGTTTGAGCCTAATTTCACTTTCGTACGATCACTTTGAAGGTTTTTGGCTTAGAGCCAGCCCTGAGATTCCATTGAGATTTTCAGCATTCCTTGGCTAGGTTCCAAACAGGCTCTCAGGGGGGCGGGGCTTAGATTGTTGCTATGTCCTAGTGAGTAATCGGAGACAGCGAGCATGACTGTAACCTGCAGGCACTCCCCGAATCGAGCTAATTAGGCTCGGGTTCCTAACTTCCGTCCCCCCAAGACGCTGACTATAAGTACAGCATTCTACCGCTGTCGCTGGTAGCATAAATTATATCAGAAGATATCTCACAAAGAACTGCAGGCATTTTCAGAGATCTGTTGAAACGTTGCATGGTTTTTCTGACCACTTTCAAGTTCTATTCGAAAATTTCACACGAAATGAGAAAAATTTGAAGATGGTATCTACGGAAATAAAATGTATTGTCAAACGAGAATGAAAGCTGACCTTCGCCGCCGCCTCGATCATTTCTGTCGAAGGAATCTCTGCCACCGTAGTTTCCGCGACGTCCTCCTCCGTCACGATATCTGAATCAGAATCCTTTGCTTGTTTCAAAAAGAAAAAAGTTCATCATGCTCACCCTCCTCCCATTCTGCTTCCACCGCCTCCAAACGAATGATCGTTGTCATCGTAGCGCTGCTGCGGCTGAGGCGGCGCATCGCTAGTGCCCCCGCCGCGATTACGCCGATGCGGAGGCACGTAGCGGTCACCTCCTAGAGAGTCGTTTACAGCAGCATTTCTACCGCTGTCATTATCGCAATATCCTTTTTCCATCAAAGTAACAAGTCGCAAATGCGAGCCGAAGTTTGAGACTTCTCCTGAAAATGAGACCTGTGTTTTGGCAGGTAAGGTGATCGCTTGGGTTATAAGTAACGACGAGAATACGGGCTTTGCCAGATCGTAAAGGTCGTATAGGCTGCGGACATTGCTCTCGCAAAATACCAGCCTTAACCAATCAGAACGAAGAAGTTACTCCCGCACTTTTTATAACCTCTTCAGAGAAAATTGAGGAAGCTCCGTAGGCGTATTGCGTAAGCAGGGACCGCAAACTCACTGACCTTCGCGATAGGCACAACTTACATAAAAGTAGAATGGATATTACCAAATTTTAAAACATTTGTTTTCTCCGACTGATGCACTAATAGATTTGCGAGGATCGGAGATGAAACCAAAAAGAATAAAGCTCGCAGTTGGCAGCTGCGCGGTCACTTCAAGCTTTCAAAAGATGTGTGTAATTGCACCAAGGGACTCAAAGTTCTGATGAACTTATATTCTTCTTGCTACTCTGCACCTAATTTACAGAATTCCAAGCGAGAACAGAAAACTTGAGCTCTAATGACCTAGTTATTGAGTCATAATAGTGATGATATTCACAATTCATTTGCAACATTTGAAAACCAAAAAGCGATGAGACGCAGGACGTACTTTGATTATTTTTGAACCCTAGGAGTCTTTGGCCGACAAAGTGAATTGATAAGCATCGATGACTCCGAATAAACGTTATAATGTTACTTCCCTAAAAGTTAATACTCTCAATACACCACATTCTACGACAGTTCTTTCTGTGCTCCGATAAGCAGTTGGTGCCAGCTTTACTTATTTACTTTTCAAAATTAATAATAAAGCAGCCATCCTACGATAACGAAGCTTTCTTTCTAATAAACCACCCTCAAACTGCATAACAGAAGTAAGTATTGGCCTTACGCATGAGTGGAGCACATAGGTTTGGCAACAAACAAGGTGCTGTGTAACTTCAAATGATCGAGGACCTGCAGGCGCCGAAAACAAGCTGATTATGAGTGAAACTATGATTGCGAAAACAAAACATTCAAGTTTTTCGAGGCCCTCTTATGATGTTCAATCGTTACTATAGAAACCATAAATTTGAGGGGCATTTTGGATCATTAAATCAGTCACAAAGGATTTTAATTTGAAATGGCAGGCAAATCGAAGGAGCAAATGCTATTTTCAGCTAGTACTTGGGGCTGGAGCGTTCGAAGCTGTTTCTCAGAACAAGATCGCCACACCAAACACCACGTGATAACCTTGAGTGACAGCTTTTTGTAAGAATTGGGGAACTTGAAGCTTACTAGAAAACGGCTGAGAAGCAGCCATTGAATATCAACACAAGCCATAAACCAAACATTTCGCAATGTGACGCATAATAGAATTCTAAAGCTCAAAAACCATCAACTCTCGTTTTCGAAAGTCTTGATTTGATCGGATCACTTTGGATTTAGAATTTGCATTCTGATGAAATCTTCACGAACGATGTTCGTTTATCACAATGATTCAGTGCGGCGAGAAAGGAATGTCCAAACCTCAGATGAAGAGTGCTAGGTCAATTTACGTTTAGTCTCTAACTTGAAAAACACCGAAGTCTATTATTTGGAATGAGCACTCATGTATTATAGTGCAGATTTGTAAAGCAAAAGAATTACAAAAAGGTTACAAAGAGGTCTTCTTGAACAGAATGCATGATAGAGCAGCAAAAAGGTAAGCGAATTCGTCGCTTGTCATAAACTATGGGAAAAAAGAACATAGATAGAGATGCGTCATCGATTCTCCATTGAACAAAAACCCCACCAGAAAAGTGAAGTAAAGGGTAGTCTCGAAATTTTCCACCGAACTAAAAATGACAGATGGAAAAGAAGGATGCGCCCGCCCATAGTTCACAACATACGAACCCCTGCGATGCTGCAAATAAGCGGTGAATCAATTTCGACAGCGATACGAGACAACACACGTACGAACTGCGGACCACAACCGCTAAAAAGCGCGATTCACCACGCAACTTCGTACACGAAATACCGAAATTTGTGAATTCTCAAGTGAAACATTGGGGTTTGTGGGCACTTTGTTCAAGGGCTTAGCCAAGAATCCGAACGAAGACCACTCTATGTTTCCATGTGTGTTTCCATATGTTTCAGGAGCATCCCGATGGTCTGCAAAAGGTTAAAGCCTTCCTGCAGATAAATATGATGATAATTTACATTGTCTGCTTTGTAAAATTCTACTCAATGCAAATGGTGTATTTGGATAACGAAGAAACCTGAGTCTTATAAGCTTAAAGGAAGTGTGCGGGCAAAAAGTCGATTTTGAGATTTTGTGCTATTTACCCGGGACTCGTACCTATAGTTACAAATGGCTGCGAAGAGCGCGCCCCATGTCCCAATGCAAATCTGTATTGCGCGGGAAACCTGGCGGTTAAGCGCGCACACCCTATAACTTTCAGCGCGAAACAATTGACACTGAAGGAAAAACTACTCTTTTCTGCAGGAGAAACAAAAAACAAGTGCAGTGTTAACGTGCGATAATTCAACTTTCATCTTGCCATGTAGATCATTTTTCATTGATATGGTACCCCAAGAACTTAGCACGGATAAGAAAGTAATGATTTGTTTGTGCTTAAACAGAGAGAAGCTTTCTACCTGAACATGTTTCTTATACGGCAGCCATAAGAAGAAGATAGCGCAGATCCAAGTGTCAAAAGATAAGTATCATTCACACTGAGACTAGAAGACCCTAGAACGTGTCAATTTCAAAGCAATTTGACATAGGTATCTCATTCTTGATGATAGACCACTGGATTAAACCAATTTGAGCATGTCCAAAAAACTTGTAGATACAAAGCGTTTTCGAGTCTATTACCAGAATGATTGGTAGCTTGCAGGCGAGCATTGTAAGTACAGATGGATCTTAAAAGCTCAAATGTTTGCGAAGATTACTGTGTACGTCAATTTCGACAGCTTAGTTAGGTTTAAGCACCTCCAGCTCAAGCTGGGCGCTATCACGCTTTCCACTTTACTACTTATCACCAAATGTTCGGTAGTTAGTCTTTGGCCATGTCTGATGGGTGGATAAGTGTAGAAAAGCATAAGTACGGCCTGTGAGAAATATGTGGTTCAGATACCTCTTGCTTCTTTGCCTATCATTCCTCGTCTGAGCGCATTCCTTAGGTATTAGCTATTGCGAGGCACTGAAGATAAAACTGCTTCCCATGATGTCATGACCAAAATTTTCGTGCATGCGGTGTAATGAACTGAAGGAACTTTCTTCACGATGTTTGATGGTGCAGACCCGGCCTCCTTCACTTTTCTGACAGATGAAAAGAAACCCTTTGTTGTTGAACAGAGTTTCCACCTTTCATAGTTGTTATAGATTACTTCAGAGCCTGCGGATACTGTCCATTTAGCATAAGAAACGAGATGTGGATCCTCAATTTGCTCAACAAGAGTACGCAAGAAAGGGAACCAGATTTGTCTCCAAAACACAAGCAAAAGCAAATTACAAGCCTATACGAGGCTCTTCAATCCTTAGCATCAAAAAACGGAGTCACGCTGCACTAAAGCTTGCTATTAGAAAAAGGTTTTACAAGAAAGTACATGCAAGAAGTTCACAGAAAAAGATTAATCATGTACAGTCTCTAGTCTTTCATTGCTAACTTGTTGCTGCTGGCTCAACGACACCCTCTCCAGCTCATTCCATGACACTGATAAGCTGTCATCGACCAAGATTTTCGCTGGTTAGCCTATGTAGCTCAAATAGTAGACATCTGTGCTTGAATCGCACGCTCCGACACCAAACGCCCTGCGCGCTGGTCAAATTTGCATTGGGTCATGGGGCGCGCTCTTCGCAGCCATTTGTAACTATAGGTACGAGTTTTACCCGGGCCTATTTCTCAGACACTCGCGGTTGACTCGCGCAGGGCAAAACGAGGTGTAGCCATTGAATGCGTGGGCGACTCGCGAAATCGGTGTCGCGGCAAAATCAGGACACCTGATTTTGTGTCGCGGCAAAAGTGCGCGGCAAAATCGGGGCAAAATCATGACACCTGCGCGAGACACCAAAATGTCGCGATCGTTCAGAGCACGCGGTCTACGCCCTTAGTGAAAGCTTTTTGCGTTCTCTAAGCGCTCTCTCATGCCTTCCTTTTGACTTACCTTGAGTCCTTTGTCACGCTGGGTCCCGTTTCTCACGCTTGTTTCTTTTCTGCCGATAAAACCCAGTCTTACGTCATAAAATTTATTAACAAATACCGCATGATCTTCTCGAGTAGAGTTTACAATGACATGGAAATGATATGCACAGTCAACAGCAATTACAGGATTGAAAACACCACAAAAACGACACATTACGAAAAAACTACGACTAAGAATGAGAACAGCATCAGTCTTCGACTACTTCAACTTCGTCTTCGAAGGTTTCAGTCTTCTGGATCACTTCGTCTTCTTTAGTTACAGTGCTGCCTTCGACCATGACACGCTTTTTCTGAAAATGAAAAATTATTGTTACCAGGATCGTATAAAACAAATGAATCACCTTTGATGGAAGGAGCATGGCCCTATCAGGGTCAAAATGATACCTTCGAAGGTCTTCCCTGCAAAATTATAGTTCAGAAGTATCGCTTTCTTTATGAGAAAACTCACAAAGCTCTCCCAATTGCTATCCTCGCTTTACCGCTCCAGATTACTCTTTTCTCTGAGAGGACGTGGAATAATCTTTCGCGAGCGTCGTCATTTTCGGCCAAGTCCAACCACCACCTAAATTCTAGTGGACATGAAGGTCTTTCGAGAACATACATACTTATTTGGATTCCGTTTGTGCTCATCTGGCGTCCTCAAAAGCTGGTCGCGGTGTAGGCCAAGAGCGTCAAGGATGAAACCTAAATCAGTTATTGAAAGTAATGTACTCAAATACACATTGACCCACTTATTAAGAAATCGACTAATCCTTCCGGGAGGTCCTTAAGATGGTCAAATTTTCCCTTCTTTCCGCTCTGTCTACAGGCGTACTGTTGAAGTTTCGTAGGTGGTTCGCACGCCTAAACGGTGATTACAAGACAACCTTATCATCTTCATCTATTTGTCGCTTACATTTAGAAAGAAGTGTCGCATAAAGTCGAGCACCAAAAGGAAATGATCATGGTCATGCGCGCGTTTTGGTCTCTGCCATTTTTCCATGACTTCAACCATATTGAACTCCTGAAACTAATGTTTTTTCCTCGTTGACTGAGAATAGTGTCTAAAGACCTTGAAGGGTGGTGAACTGTCACGATGCGAGACCCTCGATATATTTTTTCTTTCTAGTGTGTAACCCTCTGGCAACGATATCTCTCGATTTCTTGCAACGTGAAAAGTAGTCCTTTTCAACTCTTTGTCTTGCTCCTTCAGCTTAGATAGTAGGGCGTTCACCTGCAAACACGCCAATTGTTATTCTTGAACCCTGCGGAAACACGCTTACTGTTAGAGACAATCCTGCAATGGTATGCATTTGCTCCCTCACGACAGAAGTAAGAGCCATAGACTCGGCCATATATTAGGCGTTACCGCTGTAATCACCAGAGGGTACTGGTAATGGCGGAACAGCAGCAATGCATGGTCGGACCCCTTTGCTAGTTACATTTCCACTATTTTTTGTCTCTTTTTTCACAGAATTTGGAAACAGCCAAGTGTGAGCATTCATAACAATAAATTCTTACGGTAGTCTCTGAAGGTCGCGGCAAAATATTACCTTCCTTCAAACACAATTCACACTATTAAACGGCAATGTTGATAGAGAATGATATAAAAAAGTTAAGAAATCACTTGGGGAAGAAATGATAGCCTCACAAATAAAAAGCTCACCTCATTTTATCGCTATCAAAGGGTGTTTCAAATAAGTTAGCAGCAATATATGTATAGGCACATGCCGTATGTGATGGGAGTATCGGTGAGAGTGACGCATCCAGGAATACCATCTCAATAAAGAAACTTTACGAGTAAAAACACACAACACAAACAAAGAACGTCACCTCGATCAAAAACTTTGCCATATGATGCATTCTCATGTCGAATTTCATCTCCTTGCTGAATCACCGCAAAATGGTGAGCGAATGTGGGCGAATCTCTAACCGAAATAACAAGTCCATGTGAGTACCCACTAAGTACAACTGCTCGCAAGATCTCGAAAAAGTTCTCCAAATTTCCTTCGGCTAGCTCTTCGTTATTCACACCATTGAAACACGTAGCAAGGTGGTTAGAGTGTCGATTCCACAAAATCCTGCCTGGCTTCCTAAACAGCTTAAAAGTCGAGCTGAAAAAGGAAAAGCAAAAGATAGTGTGAGAGGTCATAGCGGAACTGGTAGGAATAACGAAGGGTCAAACAACGAAACCGTGGCAAGAAAATCTCCCGATAATCAGATAAAAAGTTGGAAGCACATGGTAAGATGACATGTGATTGACTTTCTACACACAAGTAATCTCAAAAATATCGAGTTAGAAAGTGTTGGGATCCACTGTTTCAAGCAAAAAGATTGAAAAACAATGGAAAGCAAAGTGCTGAAGCACCCTTCCCCCCGCAATAACAATTGAAAGAGTAATTCAAATCGAAAGGAAGAGAAGCAAGAAAAGCTAGGAAGAATTGACCTATACGTGCGTTATTTCGAAATCTTCGCCCGTCGCGGCAAAATCGCACTAAAATCGGGGCGAAACTAAAACGATGACTCGCGCCGGTCCACCGGATTTTGCTGCGAACGCCCATTTTGTGGGCGGATCCCCTGCGCGAGTCAACCGCGAGTGTCTGAGTTGCTATGCTGAATCCGATGATCCACACTGGAGAGCGCGAAAACGGCGAAAAGGGGAAGGCGGGAGGGGTTCTCCCACTGCGCATTCACTCTCCCAGCTTCCGGAACGATCTTCTCGGTCCCGAGTTCAAGTCACGCGTTTGCACTTAGCCGGTGGCGATGTCAGGGCGGCTAGCGAAATCGAGAAGATCGCTCCGGAAGCTGAAAGCTTGAATTTACATTGGAGAGACCCCGCCCCCTGCTGATTTCCCTCCTGCGTTAGAACCCTTTTCCGCCGTTTTCGCGCTCTCCGGCGTGGATTTACGGATTTAGCACAGTGAGTAGGCCAGGGTAATCATAGAATCTTGAAATCCTCTTCTAACCCGGGCACCGTCTTCAAAGGCAGTGTCTCACCAAAATTTGGTTGTCGACATTTTTGCATATTGCAAGCCTTGTCGTCCACGTGGTCCTTGTTCAGAGGATCCTCTTACAAAATATATGGAGACCCGCACCTCAATTTTGGTGAGACACTGCCTTTAAGCTGAGTCGTGGTAGAATTAATCCAAAATGCAAGCAATAGGTTGTTTCATTCGGGATCGGTCGTGGGCCAGTATGTCCGGTAACGTATTGTCGAATGCCCAAACCAGGTTTTTTTCTACAAAGCCTCTCAACTTGAATCTGGACGAGTCGAACAATCCTCGCCAAGGTCGAGAAGCACACAAATAAAATTAGGCACGGTAAATGTTCTACACATAATCTCAGCTTTCGGGTCACGTGACCCGAAACTTGGGTAGTTAAGCCATTTGCTTCAATCAAGGTTAGATATTTGATTGAACCTTTACTTCACTCAAAAATACGATAAAGTGACGATTGGAGTGTTGACATAACAGGAATATCATACAAAAAATAACAACTGGTTCAACCAATGAGTTAACAGCGTGAATACATAGATGAATGATTTCTAAAGCGAATATTGCTAATGATGAAGTAAAACTCATAAATCATAAGCTCGATAGTTGTTCAAATGAAGAAGGCAATCTAATCTACTCTCCACTCAAAGAACGGGCTGGACCTCCCCTTGACGACATGTAGGGCTGTACTCGGGCATGCGCATTCTACCACAGAGAAGAATCTATAGGTGGACCTCCCCCAATAAATTGAGTCTCTCAAGTCACAGGCGGATTTCACACTAAGGTTAGACTTCGCACTTGTGCGATGGCGGGTCGAGATCGTCCGTTTTCATATCTACTAAACTCCCATGATCCTCAACTTTGCTCGATTAGTGCTCAAAGGCACCGTTCACCCTAAGTTGAGGGTCTTGAACTTCTGGCAGCATATGATAGTAGGGCCCCCTATCAATCCAATGCCCAAGTCGCGGCGCAAAATGTTGCTTCGAAAGCGAGAAAATCGCCCCGGAATAACGAAGATGCACGAGGATCCTCAGACGGCACCGCCCTCATCATCCATGCCCGTCCATTCGTGCGCACCCAACCAATCACAACCAATCACCATTGCGGAGAATTGGCCTGCAGGTTCTCCGGAACGGAGACTGTCGGGTTTTCGCGGATTCCGGGTTTCGTCGGAAAGGACATGAGAAGGCCCCGAAACGTCAAGAACCTGGAAGTCGAGAATCTGGGGGGAGGGTGCCTTTCTAAGGCAGCGTCCTGGCAGAATCTCAACTTCTATTTCTTTGCTTTATCCCGGCCTTTCATGGCGCTGACTCCAAATGTAGCAGTCATGCGTGAATTTCTCAACCTCCCCCCCCCCCCATTTTTGAGATGATTTTGTAAGAACCGTGCACGAGTGCTCCTAATGCTATCCTTATCGAAAGCAAGCATTAACAGGCAGACACTAGTGTTCGATTGTGTTTGCCACGTGAAAACACGTCAAGGGCCGGGGAGAGTTCGTTCAAGGGGGCGGGCCGTGCGAGGTAGTGGGCGTGGTCCCCGAAACTCGATCTTCTGCTTTGATTTTCTTCTTTTGCAGGGGCGTTGAAAAGTCGGATTTGCGCGATAGTTCTAGATTGAGGTCGTAGTGCTCGGTTATGATAGTATCTGAAGATGTCCAAATTAGCCCGGACGCTGGTTCAAAGGCAGCAGGCAGCTTCGGGGCGAATCTGGATCTATGGGGATTCTACGTGGAAAGTAATTTTGGGGCCCTAACTAAGGCACTGCCCAAGCGGCAGCGCAAGTGACTCAGTAACGGCTGAGATATACGCCTCCAAACTGGACCCCGGGATCGTTTCGCTGGATTCATGGCGCAACCCACCAGTTTCGCGCGAGGACCCACGCGTTGCGCCATGAATCCATGCGACATACGGTCCTGGGCTCCAATTTCGAGGGGAATATCTCAGCCGTTAGAGTACTATCTGAGCTGCTGGTTGGGCAGTGGCTTAGTTAGGGCCTCAAAATTACTATCCTCGTGAGATTCCAATATATCCAGATTTGCCTGGACGCTGCCTTTGAGATGTGTCCTCTCTGAGTTGAGGATGGTGAGGTTTTGAAGTATACGATAAAGGACCTATCAAATCACCAACTGCGGCGCCAAAAGCTTTAAATTGAGGGATTTGCTCCGAACAATCAGCGAATGGTGACACTGGAAGAACCAATGCCCTCAGGTCTGTCCGCCCACCCAGGAACTTTCCTTGAATTTTTCGCAAAGCACAATCTACGCGCACACTGAGTGGTGGTTGTGCTCACAACGTCAGAACGTGTCCTGCCTGCATGTTCTTACTTCGTTGCACTCGTTCGCGCTTGTTGAACAAGACCCGACAAAATTTCTGTACCGAGTTCATGGCCATGGAAAGGGATTGGGACGACTAATAAAATCGAGGGTTTGAGAAGAAGGGTGAGTGGACACCTCTCAGGGCAAAGAGAAATGAGAGGGCTGGTTCAGGTCTTTATAGTAAAGAAATGCTGAGACGAAGTTTTACAACACATACACAAACAAGAAAAAGCCTTAGGCAGTCCGCTTTTGTATGATTCATTCTATGACTAGGAGACGCGAAACCGCATTGCACACATTGTCTAAACAAGCCTAATCGTGTACTTAGCAGGTCTATACTTGTCATTTATTTCGCCCAGATTTATTTACTCTTTACAAACAGGGAAGAACAAACTTAAACTTGTTAAGACAATGTCCGCAATGCGGTATGACGTCTCCTAGTCATAGAATAATTTATATGTAATTATCTCATGTGCTGTTAATCTTTTCAAAACAAATGCAACAGCTGATGCAGCAGTCTGATCCAGCTGTGATTCTCAGCCCTCCAGAGTCAATATACCTCAGATGAAAAATATTATTTGTTATCCTGTTTTGTGATTGAATCCAAAGTCAATTCCCTTCATTTGGCTACTCATATCCAGGCTGATTCGTGGAAATGCGAGCCCACTAATTTGTAGAGTCTTCAATCGTGACTGTTGTAAGAAGGAAGGTGCTGGGTGATTCTCATGGACAAGGTTATGTGAGGAGAAAATCTGGGTTGTTTCAAAAGTCTGCCTGTTTACCGAACTTTAACTTCGAGTCACCATAATTCAATCTAATATTTCGTGGGATTACACAAACTTTTCTCATATTGTAACTAGTGTTCGGCCGGACATTTTCAAACGCGGATTCTAATGATTTCATTTGCAAGAGAATCTTGCAAAGAAATTCGGGAAACCCATAAATTGCTCCGTTCTGAGGTGGCAAGGAAATGCATTTTTGAAAGTTTTTTTTTGACTTTTTGACAATTTTTCGCTGCTATTTATAGAAAATCCTATTGTTTCTCTGACACTCAATGTCCTAGGCCTGCTCTCGATATTTTGAAAGTTCCCTAAATCAGCAAGGAAAGGCGCATTTAATGAGCGTAAAGTCAGATCAAAATTTGGTATTTTCAAAAAATCTTGACTGACCTCTTTACGAAAAATACTACTTTCCATTAGAAAGTCTCCGAGTTCCTTTTTTTGTGAATGATGATTTCCTCCAATCAATTTTTTCCACACAATGGTGGAGTTTGTGTTTCGAATCACTATTCACTCTACTATTAGGTTGTCCCAAAAGTAAACTCCTAAATAAATCAAGTTGTTTTCGTTTTCTTAGAAGACTTAGGATACCATTTCATAGAGCAAAGCAAGCTCTATAAAATGACCGCCAAGGATCCGCCTAAATCATAATCAGGTGAATTTTTGAGCGAATCAAAATTCTTCGACTCTCCTAATTGGATCTCTTTCCAGAAAATTCCTAAGGACCTCCATCAGTAGTACTCGAACATGTACTAGGTGGATTTTCTCGGGGAGGTCAAAATAGTTTGAAATTGCAAAAATGTAACTTTTTTGATTTGTTAGAATTGAACAATATTCTATCACCAGAGCGATTACAGAGGTAAACTTAAGGTTATATTAAAGAAGGCTTGTAGTATACAATGAGCTATATGGGAGGGGCTGGGGCGGAGTTTGCCTTTTGACTACCTCTTTTGTTTCTAGGCGCGGAAAAAATCCAGTAAAAGCATATTTGAGTACTACTATGTGTCTGTTCTGTAACGACCAAAATGGAGGTCCGTAGCATCCCTTGTCTCAAAAACCCAATTTTCAGGTAGCAAACTTTTTTTCGATTTTGGCTCTAAACTTTACCTGGCTTACGACTTAGACGGATTTTCCGCAGCCGTTCTGTAGAGATCGCTTCGCTCTATGGGATGGTACTATGTCTATTAGGAAAACAAAAGCGGTTTGATTGGATAAGGAAAGGATTTACTTTTGAGACAACCTTATAAACTGCAATCAAAACGCCATAGGAATATATCAAAAAGGCTCGCAAATGCATGGTTTGATCAAGACTTCAAAGCTTCAAGTCTACTTTTACACGTTAGAAATTTTTAAAAACCATTCGACCATGAAAACCGTATTTGTGGTTATGCGAAGACCAAAGCGAACAGTTCGCGTCACATTAGAACTATAGTTGAAGTTTCATCTCCTAATTATCGTAGCCGCACACAATTCCAAAAACTCGGTGAACATTCCCCTCTCACAGATTATTAGAATTGCAGTTTCTTTAATCACTGACTTTGAAGACTTCAGCCAATCTGCGATATTCTGTTTTTTATAGAATTGAGCTAAATTAGGGGGACAGTTCCCTATCACAGAGGCGTGTATTGCAGAAAAAGCTTTTCAATGCTAATCTCAAGACATTTCATTTCTAACTTTCACATCTTCCAAGAGTATTTCTGGACAAAGTTGTAAGGATCTATTTCCACATGATTTTTCGTCAGGTTCTTCAGGATACTTGCTACACCTTCTCCACATAGGTCGCACTCTTAATCACCTCCTGCTATTGCAAGCGTTGGACCTTCTGCCCCCTTCTCCAAATTCGCATCAGCCAGACCTCTCAAAAGAATTTTGTAAATTTCCGCGGCCTATAACTCCAACTTTTGAGAATAGAAGTTTTTACAAAGCTAGTTCAAATTTCTGGAAAATCTCAAAAATTGATATAATTATGTACAGATGTAAACAAATCATCTGCACAATTTTCTTGCTCACACAGGCCGCTTTCAAAAACTAGGCGACCACTCGGCGTTACAGGGATGTCACATTGAACGATTCTATAACACTATCTAACGCACAACATTTTATCAGAACCTGGACATAAAGTTTATTATAATAAATACAACAACCGCAAAGGACGGTGTATCAGGTACGTAGTATGTGCTTCAATCCTCGCGAAGAGGGAGATACGACTGTTGGATAGGCTTGCCTGCTTCTGCAACGACCAAATGTATCTTATCACCAGTAGAGATTTCTCTTTCGGCGGCGGTACGGAAGGCATCCTGAGAAAAAAAAGTTGTTCAACAGCTTGAATCTGACAGAAACAAATTACCTTCATCAGTGAGACAGCTCTTTGCAAGGTGAGCGGTGCACGTTCAGCTTCTTCGGAGAGGGTCACGTTACCGACCTGCACATCTTAATGTACTCGCAATACACTAGAGATCAACTCACTTGACAGTCAAGGAATGGTATCATCATTGGCTCAGCTGCTCCAGTGGCGGCGTAAGCTATTCGTTCAATGCAACCGATTGGATCATAGCTAAATACTGCGCCTTTGCCTGAAAGTGATCATGTAGTTTCCGATAAGCATTTAGTGCCGCAACTTACCATTCTCGTCGATGCCAGCCAAAATTGCACCCGTATAGTAAGGGAAAAATCTTCTGTAGTATAAGTTCCTCGATAAGAGCTCGGCCATCAGATCAACGCTCATATCAGTCCTATAGTCAAAGCGATACTTGTGGAGGCGAGCCTGAAAGTAAATTCAATATCAGAGCTTTGTCAGTGTTATCGCCATGACCTCCACCGCCGATTCCTACCTGACGCTCATGCTGTACCTACAATGATTTCAAAAACTATTTTAAATATCATGACCATTCAAGATAAAAGTTTAGTCTCGGCCATAATCGAGTATGTGTTCAAACTCAGACGCTTCTAACAAAAAAGTACAACAGGGTACTGTGGTAGGATTTTCGAGTCCAAAAAGCGATCATCGTCATTTCTGTCGATGTTCATCACATCACAGACTATTAGAAATTCTTGTACTATGTAACGAAAGCGTGGCCCAGCGAAGAAAATAAAACAATATAAAATCTTGTGTAAACATTACTGACTGATGTTTGCGAAACGGTATAAAAATGACAGCTGCAACAGATACTTCACATTGCTCACAAATTATCCTTCTATATATATAAAACCGAATGGGATTTTGTCTGTACACTGGTGGCTTGTCTGTACGCTGGTGGATAAGCATGCTTGTTGATGCTGTCTGTAGGTCCTCGATGGTGTTTTCGTGTTTGTCATTTTCCAGCATGGAAGCTTGTCATTACTTCTACCAAATTTATCGATTATTTGTAAATTTTCAACTACGGGGCTGGGAGTTGGCACTCGGGGGTAATCGAGCATGCTGATTACGAATATGATAACCATTTTCAAAAATGCCCATTACTTTTATCATTTTATCGATTTTTTGGCAAAGTTCAAGCTACGGGGCTGGGAGTTGGCACACGGGGGTAATCGAGCATGCTGATTACGAATATGATAACTATTTTCAAAAATGCCCATTACTTTTATCACTTTATCGATTTCCTGGCAAAGTTCAAGCTACGGGGCTGGGAGTTGGCACACGGGGGTAATCGAGCATGCTGATTACGAATATGATAACTATTTTCAAAAATGCCCATTACTTTTATCATTTTATCGATTTGTTTGCAAATTTTGGACTACGGGGTTGGGAGTTGGCAGGAGAGGGTAAGCGAACATGCTGATTACGAATACAATACTGGTTTTTAGAATTATCAGTTATTTTTATCATTTTATCGATTTTTTGGCAAAGTTCAAGCTACAGGGCTGGGAGTTGGCAGACGGGGGTAATCGAGCATGCTGATTACGAATACAGTATTAGTTTTTAGAATTATCAGTTATTTTTATCATTTTATCGATTTTTTGGCAAAGTTCAAGCTACGGGGCTGCAAGTTGGCACACGGGGGTAATCGAGCTTGCTGATTACGAATTTGATAACCATTATCAAAAATGCCCATTACTTTTATCACTTTATCGATTTCCTGGCAAAGTTCAAGCTACGGGGCTGGGAGTTGGCACACGGGGGTAATCGAGCATGCTGATTACGAATATGATAACTATTTTCAAAAATGCCCATTACTTTTATCATTTTATCGATTTGTTTGCAAATTTTGGACTACGGGGTTGGGAGTTGGCAGGAGAGGGTAAGCGAACATGCTGATTACGAATACAATACTGGTTTTTAGAATTATCAGTTATTTTTATCATTTTATCGATTTTTTGGCAAAGTTCAAGCTACAGGGCTGGGAGTTGGCAGACGGGGGTAATCGAGCATGCCGATTACGAATACAGTATTAGTTTTTAGAATTATCAGTTATTTTTATCATTTTATCGATTTTTTGGCAAAGTTCAAGCTACGGGGCTGCAAGTTGGCACACGGGGGTAATCGAGCTTGCTGATTACGAATTTGATAACCATTATCAAAAATGCCCATTACTTTTATCATTTTATCGATTTTTTGGCAAAGTTCGAGCTACGGGGCTGGAAGTTGGCACACGGGGGTAATCGAGCATGCTGATTACGAATATGATAACCATTTTCAAAAATGTCCATTACTTTTATCATTTTATCGATTTTTTGGCAAAGTTCAAGCTACGGGGCTGGAAGTTGGCACACGGGGGTAATCGAGCATGCTGATTACGAATACAGTATTAGTTTTTGAAATTATCAGTTATTTTTATCATTTTATCGATTTTTTGGCAAAGTTCAAGCTACGGGGCTGCAAGTTGGCACACGGGGGTAATCGAGCTTGCTGATTACGAATTTGATAACCATTATCAAAAATGCCCATTACTTTTATCATTTTATCGATTTTTTGGCAAAGTTCGAGCTACGGGGCTGCAAGTTGGCACACGGGGGTAATCGAGCTTGCTGATTACGAATACGATAACTATTTTCAAAAATGCCCATTATTTTTATCATTTTATCGATTTTTTTGCAAAGTTCAAGCTACGGGGCTGGAAGTTGGCACACGGGGGTAATCGAGCATGCTGATTACGAATATGATAACCATTTTCAAAAATGTCCATTACTTTTATCATTTTATCGATTTTTTGGCAAAGTTCAAGCTACGGGGCTGGAAGTTGGCACACGGGGGTAATCGAGCATGCTGATTACGAATACAGTATTAGTTTTTGAAATTATCAGTTATTTTTATCATTTTATCGATTTTTTGGCAAAGTTTAAGCTACGGGGCTGGGAGTTGGCAGACGGGGGTAATCGAGCATGCTGATTACGAATACAATATTAGTTTTTAGAATTATCAGTTATTTTTATCATTTTATCGATTTTTTGGCAAAGTTCAAGCTACGGGGCTGGGAGTTGGCACAGGAGGACAACCGAACATGCTGATTACGAAATATAGCTTTTAGAATTATCAGTTATTTTTATCATTTCGATTTTTTTGCATGGTTCAAGCTACGGGGCTGGGGTTTGGCACACGGGGGTAATCGAGCATGCTGATTACGAATATGATAACTATTTTCAAAAATGCCCATTACTTTTATCACTTTATCGATTTTCTGGCAAAGTTCAAGCTACGGGGCTGGGAGTTGGCACACGGGGGTAATCGAGCATGCTGATTACGAATTTGATAACCATTTTCAAAAATGTCCATTACTTTTATCATTTTATCGATTTTTTGGCAAAGTTCAAGCTACGGGGCTGGAAGTTGGCACACGGGGGTAATCGAGCATGCTGATTACGAATACAGTATTAGTTTTTGGAATTATCAGTTATTTTTATCATTTTATCGATTTTTTGGCAAAGTTTAAGCTACGGGGCTGGGAGTTGGCAGACGGGGGTAATCGAGCATGCTGATTACGAATACAATATTAGTTTTTAGAATTATCAGTTATTTTTATCATTTTATCGATTTTTTGGCAAAGTTCAAGCTACGGGGCTGGGAGTTGGCACAGGAGGACAACCGAACATGCTGATTACGAAATATAGCTTTTAGAATTATCAGTTATTTTTATCATTTCGATTTTTTTGCATGGTTCAAGCTACGGGGCTGGGGTTTGGCACACGGGGGTAATCGAGCATGCTGATTACGAATATGATAACTATTTTCAAAAATGCCCATTACTTTTATCACTTTATCGATTTTCTGGCAAAGTTCAAGCTACGGGGCTGGGAGTTGGCACACGGGGGTAATCGAGCATGCTGATTACGAATATGATAACTACTTTCAAAAATGCCCATTACTTTTATCACTTTATCGATTTCCTGGCAAAGTTCAAGCTACGGGGCTGGGAGTTGGCACACGGGGGTAATCGAGCATGCTGATTACGAATATGATAACTATTTTCAAAAATGCCCATTACTTTTATCACTTTATCGATTTCCTGGCAAAGTTCAAGCTACGGGGCTGGGAGTTGGCACACGGGGGTAATCGAGCATGCTGATTACGAATATGATAACTATTTTCAAAAATGCCCATTACTTTTATCATTTTATCGATTTGTTTGCAAATTTTGGACTACGGGGTTGGGAGTTGGCAGGAGAGGGTAAGCGAACATGCTGATTACGAATACAATACTGGTTTTTAGAATTATCAGTTATTTTTATCATTTTATCGATTTTTTGGCAAAGTTCAAGCTACAGGGCTGGGAGTTGGCAGACGGGGGTAATCGAGCATGCTGATTACGAATACAGTATTAGTTTTTAGAATTATCAGTTATTTTTATCATTTTATCGATTTTTTGGCAAAGTTCAAGCTACGGGGCTGCAAGTTGGTACACGGGGGTAATCGAGCTTGCTGATTACGAATATGATAACTATTTTCAAAAATGCCCATTATTTTTATCATTTTATCGATTTTTTTGCAAAGTTCAAGCTACGGGGCTGGAAGTTGGCACACGGGGGTAATCGAGCATGCTGATTACGAATATGATAACCATTTTCAAAAATGTCCATTACTTTTATCATTTTATCGATTTTTTGGCAAAGTTCAAGCTACGGGGCTGGAAGTTGGCACACGGGGGTAATCGAGCATGCTGATTACGAATACAGTATTAGTTTTTGGAATTATCAGTTATTTTTATCATTTTATCGATTTTTTGGCAAAGTTTAAGCTACGGGGCTGGGAGTTGGCAGACGGGGGTAATCGAGCATGCTGATTACGAATACAATACTAGTTTTTAGAATTATCAGTTATTTTTATCATTTTATCGATTTTTTGGCAAAGTTCAAGCTACGGGGCTGGGAGTTGGCACAGGAGGACAACCGAACATGCTGATTAGGAAATATAGCTTTTAGAATTATCAGTTACTAGCTGGCTTGCCCGGCTCCGCCGGGCCTGCCAGCTAGACCCGTGTACGTATGTTCCGAATAGAAATTTTTATCTCTGAACCGATTGGGACCGAACTTTGCACACATACACTTCGGGGCAGGGAGCGTGTCACAGCCCACTTTTCGTTATCGATCGATGTCGATTTTACCGATTTTTTGCAAAATTTGAGCTAGGGGGCTAGGATTTTGCACAGGGGGGTAATCGAGCATGCTGATCACCCCTTCGGGGTGATCAGCATGCTCGATTACCCCCCTCTGCCAAATCCCAGCCCTCTAGCTCGAATTTTGCAAAAAATCAATAAAATCGATATCGATCGATAACGAAAAGTAGCCTATGACACGCTCCCTGCCCTGAAGTATATGTGTGCCAAGTTTGGT